TAAGATTAAATTTGAATTCCTTATCATGGCCTAAAAATTCCTACACGATCTTGTTTAGTCTAGTCTCCAGTTACATCTATTCTTCTTTGCCTCCCACCATTTTTTCTTTTGTGTGTGATACTGGAGATTGAATACAGGGCCTTATACATGCTAGGCAAATGATCTACCACTGAGTTACATCCACAGATCTTTTTATTTATTTTGAGCCAGTCTCACTAAGGGCCCAGGCAGGCCTTGAATGTGCAATCTTCCTGCTTTGGCTTCCTGAGTAGCTGGGATTGAAGCCATGTGCTACCTCGTCTGGCCCTCTTACCACATAAAAGAATGTGACACATTCACACTTGTGTCTTCTTTCTGTTCCTCCCATGGAAGATTTTCCCCTCCTGGGGTCTATGCTTTGTCTTTCCTTTCATATATATATTTATATTTATATATATGGTATTCAAATCAGGTATCCCCTTCTCAGAGGTCAATCCATCTAAAGTATTCCACCTCCCTCTCCATCTGCAGCTATTTCATTAGCATATTTTACTTCCTTCATAGCATTCATTTTTACCTGAAATCATCTTCTTTTTTTATATGCTCAATGTATACCTCCTAGACTAAATTATAAATTCCATGAGAGCAGGAATATTGTCTTAGTCACAGCTGTATCCTCACTACTAAGACCTGTGCCTAGCACAAAACAGATGCTCAAAGTATTTGTTAATTAAATGAACATGTAATATGATATTCAATAAGGATGCTCTTAATTTTGAACAGGTACTCAAAAGACAATACACAGGTACCCCATGTTTATGTCCTAAGCCAAATGTTAGTCTACCATGAAAGATAAGCTAAGAAATTGTGGTGTGGCATTAATCATCACTCACCTCCAGCCCATGGTAGCTAGTGGGGAGTGGACCTGATAACTCCTGAAGAGCATGGTTTTGGAGATATATGATACTTACCTAAAACCTCTTCCCCCACCATGGGGAAAAAGAGACTCCTCTCCTTACCTCAAGATATGTGAGAGGAGCTTTCACAGAAACACTTAGAGAACTTGATAGCATATCTCCTGGAGTCTGGGAAGATAAAGGGACCAGGGATCTGATACTTTGCTGAGAAAACCAAAGGAGGTAGAAATATAAAAGAAAACAAAATTAAAAAGCCACACATAGTGGTACACACCTGTAATCTCAGAAACTCAGGAGGCTGAGGTAGAAGGATTAGAAGTTCAAAGGCAGTCTCAGCAACTTAATGAGACCCCATCTTAAAATAAAAATATAAAGGGCTGGGATATAGTTCAGTGATAGAAGACAAAACAAAAGCAGATATGCCATATCTCTTATTTCAGGCATCTAGTCTAATGCAGAACTAAACTGGAGAAAAAGAAAAGCTTTGACCTGGAATAAAGTTTGTGTGACCTTCATCACATTTCACCCAGGGCAGAAAAAAAAAAAAAAAGAGCATTCAGAGTATGAGAAGGTACTGTGCAGTAAAAAATAATATTCTGTTTGCACCTTATTGAATCCTACTCAATCAATAAAATGCACATGCCTAACAAAACTCCAACCCTGGATGAAAAAACTCTGATTTGATATTATATCACATGATAATTTATTCAACATCTAGTGATTAAGCACCTACTACATGCTAGTAGGCATTAGTATAGGTAGTAAGAATACAATAGGTAGCAAAAATTAATTTAAAAAATAAATAAATAATATTCAAATGGAAAAAAACCAAATATATTAGAAATGCAATGTCTAACAATAAGGAGTGATTAAATTATGGTGCATTCAAATGATGCACAATTATGCAGACATTAAAATTAAGTTTTCAAAGACCATTTATTGATATAGAAAAATGATCATGAAAAGTTTTAAAACCTGAATTTTGAAAAGAATTTCATCTACCTAATTAAAGTGATATATACTATGAAAAACAAAACAAAAATAACAACAAAAGAATACAACAGTGTATAAGACAAACATTTGCTGTAAGAAGAGAAGTTTTTAAAATCCTTGGGGGTAATGGTAATATTTTGTGTCTTAATGGAGGCCATTTGAATTACATAGGTGTATGCATTTGTTAAAACTAGAGTTGGTTATGGTTTTTTCCTTTTATTGTAAATTTACACATGATGACATGTATAAACCTTAAATATGTCTGCTGAGTTTTAATAAGTACATGATCACAACTCTGCCTCCTTTCACTGTCAGCAAGTAACCTTGCCTCCCACTTCCTTTAGAGCACAGAAGTCATCAAACAGGCACTCCTCCAACTCTCAGCATCATACCTGTAAATGTATCTGCAGCCATACTTATCTTTTATTTCTTTCCTTCAATTTCAGTGGATTCCAAGTCCCTACTTTCATAGGAGGCCAATCTCTTCTTCTGACTTTTGTATTCTACCTCCTCCAAATTTCTCAGAGGACTTGCTCTATGACATCCTAAAACATGATGTTTTTCTCTTCCTGAAACAACTTTTCTACTACTTCTTTCACCCTTCATAACTCCCACTCCCCTTGTTTAGATGCTATTTATTCAGATGTGCCTTCTCTGACCTTCTCTCTATATACCTATTAAACTTCCTTTTTCATGATATTCACTCACTTCTAATTACTTGTTATAATGTGTGTCTTGCCCATAAGACAAACATGGCCTTTGCCCTTAAAAGTGTCTCCTTAACTGCTGTGTCTCCAGAACTTGGAATAGTACCTGGCACATTAAATACAATAAATATTTGTTGCTAAATGAGATAATTAGTTTTAATTAATTTATATGATCTGTAAAATGAATTATTAATGTCTTCATTTTCTTCATAGATTTAATTTTTTTTAGAGAGAGAGAGAGAGAGAGAGAGAAAATTTTTTAATATTTATTTTTTTAGTTTTCGGTACAACATCTGTGTTTGTATGTGGTGTTGAGGATTGAATCCGGGCCGCACGCATGCCAGGCGAGCGTGCTACCGCCTGAGCCACATCCCCAGCCCTCATAGATTTAATTTTTAATAACTATTGCCATCCCTTTCAGGATTATATTAATAAATAAGGGCATTACAACGTTGTTTCTATAATAATTATAATTTTGGGGGGAGGGGTACTGGGAATTGAGCTTAGAGGTGCTTTATCAGTGAGCCACATCCCCAGTTCTTTTTTTTTTTTTTTTTACTTTTTATTTTGAGACACTAAGTTGCTGAAGCTGGCCTTGAACTTGTGATTCTCCTCACCTCAGCTTCCCAAGTAGCTGGGATTATAGGTGTGTGCCACTGTGTCCAGCTTAATGACTATAATTTCTTATGATTCTCTTCTTATAATTTAAGTGAATATCTTATACATAAAAAATACGCTTTGAATAAAGTTCAGTCCTAAAAACCCTATAATGAGAAAGATTCTTGGATATTCTATATTTAAATGTCCTCAGATCATTCCTCAGAAGAAGGAAGAAACCTCAAAGTACTTTAGAAGTAGTATAATACTTTCATAACTGCATTATTATTATGCTTTTATCCATATGGGGGTATTTTATGGCTATTAACCACCAAATTTGGAGTTTGTTGTATCTTTTAATTGTGGAGAATGATCATCTGTTAGTTTACATAACTACACCTTATAAACAGCTTAGTTTTTCTGAGCAATCTTAAATTCATTCAGCATTCATTGAATGATGACTAGGTGTGTAGAAGGCACTAAGGACTTAACATACATTAATTGCACATTTGTAACATTCATGAATATATGTGTAATTTAAATATATATATGCAGATAGATATAGTTATAAATCTTCTGCCTCCTCCTAAATTTAAGTAGAATTAATATAACCAAATGAGAGCTCTTTAGGTACAAGTACAAATCTTTCTCTTAAAAACTGTTTCTATTGCCAGTCTTGATATAAATCTTATTGATATCATATAGCTCCTTTTAACAGGCCAAAATAAAGTATCAACACAATTATAGTTAGGGATTTCACAGATCAGCCTCATTTTGGAGTGTTATTCAAACAAAATCAGACTAACAACCTAGACAAACTGAAAAGGCAATTCCAGTCTTTACTGACATTTCCTGAAGCATGACAGAACAAATTTCTTACAATTCTCTTCCCCTTTCCAATCATGATTACCTCAATAGTACCCAAAAAACAGTCACTCTACCCTTTCTTCACTTGGGTCTAATTTAGCTTATTCTGTTTATATTTCTTCTTCCTCGAAGAGCTTACCAGAAAGAAAGAACTCTTCAGGGAGGCTGTGTGTGTATGTTGAATGCTGTATCTGAAGAGATGCCCAGAAGGAACTGACCATCTCTAGGAAGTGGCTAGTTTAAAGGCAAGTTCTGCTTTCAAGGATATACAGATTAAAAGGAATAACCAACCAACACGTGTAGTAGTGAAAGCAGCATACTTGCTGGGTAATATAACACAGATACTGGATACAATTCGGGTTGTGAGATGGTCAACATCAGACTGGAAGCAAGCCTAGAGGTGGGGCTGGATCTAGATAAGGAATGAATTAATCAATAAATATTTGTGGAGCTTTCTAGCAGGGCTTCTTATCGATAGCAACCCTACGTAGGCATTTTTCTTGGGCAAGATTCCATTGTTTTCATTTCTTTCTAGTCATGACTGCTTTTATCTAGGTAACACGAAGGATGATATGTACAGTGGGCGGCTAAAATCTCTTCTAACATCACTTAGAAGTGGTTTGGATCCTAAAGGGTCTCTGAGGTCCCCGACCACTGGCATCGGGTGTCCTGGTGGCCTGACTCTTCTCCGGTTTAAAGTCAGAAGAAGGAGCGTGTCTCGAGGAACCTACTCTTGTGCATATTCATCCGGCTTCAGCCCATAGGCCAGCCAGCGTTCTAGCAGCCCCAGCTCGGGTCATTTACGGCCATTCGGCCCACCTCCGTGCTCTGCCTTCTCCCTCCTCCCTGCCCTTCCGCACTCCTCCATTTCCGACTACGCCTCCGCCTGTTTCGGCCCTCCTCGGCTTCCGTCCCAGATGATCCCTCCCCGAGCTTGCCACCGCCTCCTCCATCTCCCGGAGCTGGAGCCGCCTCCTCGGCCAGTGGCGTAGCCGACTTGGTGTCGCGGATAACTAGATAGTGGTGGAGGTCCGGAGCACAGCCTGGACCCGAGCGGGGGGCCATGGAGAAAGCGGCCCGAGGCGCTCTTTGTACCTACTAGAGCAGGCGTGTTGCGGCTGCAGGCGCCATGGACCGAGCCCCAACAGACCAGGTATGCGGGCTTAGGTTGGGCCCGCTTGGCTACGGGTTGAGGGTCGCTGCTGCTTCTCGGGCCAGGCCCGAGCCTCCGAACGTGAGGCCCGGCGGCTGGAGACCTCGGGCTCCTGCGGGAACCCACCCTGTCTCCGGCAGCCCGGCTGCGCCGTGCTCTTCTGCATTGTTGCAGCTGCTGCTCGGGTTCGGGGCTTTCCAGCCCTGCTCTCCCCGGGTCTTGGCCACAGAGGTCGGAGGGCTCCAACTCCTCCCTACCCTCCCGAGAAGCGGGGGTTGTAACTTCCAGTGAACCCCGCTCCTTTGCCTTCAGTTCTGGAATGCGTTTTCAAGGTGGAAAGGCTTTTGAAGGCTTTTCACCTAGGAAGACAGAATGTGCGGTAACTACAGATGAAGAGTGTCATGGGCCCTTTATGTCTGTGTTCAGTTGAGCGAAGCATTGTTTTTGTAGTGGCTTAGGGAAGTATTCTTTTTTAAGCAACGATAGCTATAGTTTCCCCATGTCCTCCTATATAATTATTTTTTTTTAAAAAAAATGTAATTAGTGTTTTTAAAAAATCAAGCTCATATTTTAAGGGTATAGGAACATGAGTTCATTTCCAAGGCCGTTTTCATAGTCGCAAAATAGTACCATTAGTTCTGTTTTATTTTTAATTGCATCAGATCTATTATCCATGCTAGTAGGTGCTGGGAGGCAGGAACAGTGACAGTGTTAAAAAAAATTATCTAAGGTAATAGTTTTCCCCCCAGTATTTTCCAGTCTTAGGATCACTTCGAAACGACTTAATTTGATGAAGTCTTAACGTTTATTCACTGTCCATTCCCTCTTCCAAGGTCTTGAGCAGGGATATATTAGGCAAATGGATGAAAGAAGAAGAGAGGCTAGTGATTTGCTGTTTAGTTTACAAATTTTTAATTAGCAGTTGAATAAATGAGACAAGATTTCCTAAATTCCTGGTATATGTGTCTGGACCTAGTAAGAGCCAGTTTGACTTTGAAATCGAATTCTTAGTAGGCAAAACACAGCTTCTAAATTGTGCATTTTTTATTTTACACAAACTTTAATTTTTCAAAAAAAAGCTTTACATGAATACAACTCTGAAAGCCCCAGAGTTTCATTAAATGGTGCAAGCAAAAAAAAAAAAAAAAAAAAAATTGATGTGCTCTTTGCAAAAACCCCGGAGTTTTCTTTATACAGCCTGTATCCGATTTAATTTAAGGATTGTTTTTGTTTTTGAAGTTATCAGAAATACCTGAGATTTCAAAGTTCTACTGACCAACAGGAAAATTTCCTTGAATCATTTCCTTGTATGTCACTAATGAAAGGTTCTACATTTTGGTCCTTCACGGAGATGCTAGAACTGTAACCAGTAATGCCACCATATGTATACTTATGGTTCCTTTCATCCTAGAGGAAATGTAATTAACTATTTAGATGGTAACTTTTGACTTAGCTGTTTGTGTGTGATTATCTTAACAGCAGGTGTTATGAGCAATTTATTTAGCTCTTCATTTTTTATCCAACCTTCTTCTAAAGTGTCCAATCTATTAAAGCTTTATAGAAATATAAGATCTAGGGGCGGGGGTAGGGGGAAGTCATGAAGGAGATGAAAGTATTCTGTTGAAGATTTTTTTTTTCTTCAGGGTCTCTTGCCTTTTCCCCAACCTAACCGTAAAGACATTAATTTGAATTCTCCCACTTACCTGTATACTCAGAAAACAGATCCAGAAAAGCGATGTGTCTTTGTTTAGTTAATGTATTAGGCAGTCAATTCCAGGATATATGGTTGACCTAGAAAGAGCACACTTCATTTTATATGCATTTTTCTGGGCAGGACTCCATTTTTTCTACCATATTCTCAAAAGGGTCTGTTCTTGAGAAAAAGGGTAAGAACCATTAATTGTAGATGAGGGGCTGAGATTTCTCAGCTTTGTGGAGTTCTTGATTCTTCTCACTATACCATACAGTAATGTGATGGCTTTTTCCAGATTATTTGGAATATACTTTTATGTTCCTACTATTGAAATTATAAATTGGGTACAAATCATTAAAAAGTTTATGTGGGGGCTGGGGTTGTAGCTCAGTGGCAAAGCACTTGCCCAGCATGTGTGAGACACTGGGTTCAATCCTTAGCACCACATAAAATAAACAAATAAAATAAAGGCATGCTGTCCATTTATAACTAAAAAATAAATTAAAAAAAAAGTTTATGTGGTATGTGCTGAATTCCCTTTTATTCCCCCCCCCCCCTTTTAAACCAGTTTTGGCTTGTAGTGGTGAGCAATTTATAAAGCTTTATTATCTTTAAAGAAATTTCTTTGAGGTATTGGATATTGAACCAGGGCTTCATGCATGCTAAACAAGTGCTCTACCACTGAGCTACACCCCCAGCTAGATGTTTGATTTTTATAAAATAGTACTTAATGGAGACTTTCTGCATTTCATCTTGGTCTAATTAAGTCCTTGGAGTATTCCACAAAAATTACTTTTTAAAAGGTCTAATTATTTTGTGTCTGAGACATTCATGTTGCTGTTCTTGCAGATTTCCTTTTTGTATAAAATGTTTATAAAAAGATACATTTTGTATAAATCGATCAAGATTATGAAAAGTAACTCATTGAGAGTACAGTGCTAGATGGATAATTTTAATTGCAATAATGACCATTTGAAAGAATGTTATAACTAACTAGAAGAGAATTTGGGGAGTATTCTCTTTTAGCAAAACTGTATTAATCGAAAAGGTAGCTAAATTTTAACTGCTAGAGTTAGATGTTCTAAAAAGGGATGTTACTTGGTATAATTTTATTTTTCTAAAAAGAAAGTTAAGGGATGTGAAGAATAAATCATTGAGTTCATTTTGTTTATAAATGTTTAGTGTCTCTATTTTTAGGAAATTTGGAACAGTGGTTGGAGATTTAATAAATCATGGGCTTAGAAGTGATAGAACACTTGCAGTTCTCTCCCTGACTCTTTCTCTGTTCTCTGGATACTGGGAATGGAACCCAGGGCCTTACACATGCTGGGCAAGCACTTTATCCCTGAAAGACATCCCCATCCCTTTATTCCCCCCTCACATTTTTTTTTTTTTAAGGGTGCATTATAGTTGTACATAATGATGGGATTTGTTGTTATACATTTGTACATGCACACAATATAACAATATAATTTGGCCAATATCACTCCTTCTGTGGTCCCTTCCTCTAGTGAACTCTTGCCTTTCCCCCAGCCTTTTAAAGAACAGTTTTATTTTAAAGACAGGGTCTTACTAAATTGCCCAGGCTGGCCTCAAACTTGCCATTCTCCTGCCTCTGCCTCCTAAATAGGTGGGATTAAAGCCATGTGCTACCATGCTTGGTTCACAGTCTCTTTTGTGTTATTACAAACAATTTAAATGTTGGCCTAATTTTTAGTACATTAATATTAGATAATTTTAAAATAATTTACAGAATTACTGATTTTACTTACATCTTTAATTCTTTTTTTTTTTTTTTTTGAGAGAGAGAATTTTTTAATATTTATTTTTTAGTTTTTGGTGGACACAACATCTTTATTGTATTTTTATGTGGAGCTGAGGATCGAACCCAGCGCCCCGCGCATGCCAGGAGAGCGCACTACCGCTTGAGCCATATCCCCAGCCCATATCTTTAATTTTTAGAAGAACAAATATAATGAATACATGTAATATCATGCTATGTTGTTCACCAATAAGAATACAAAATTGTTTGACTTACAACTGTTCCCTTTAAATAATTTGTACACTTCAAATAATATCAGTACTTCAAACTTGTTGTACAGTTAGTTCTCTGTATCCATAAGTTTTGAATCTAACTTTGGACTGAAAAAATTGGGGAGAAATTTAAGTGTGTACTGAACATGGAGAGACATTTTTCCTTGTCATTATTCCCTAAACTATTTAACAACTATTTACAAAGCATTTACATTGTATTAGGTATTATAAATAACCTAGGGATGGTTTAAAATATACAGGAGAATGTACATAGGTTATATGCAAATGCTTTGCTATTTTATATAAGGGACCTGAGCATCCATGGATTTTAGTATCTGTGGTGAGGATCTTGGAACAAATCCCCTAGGTTATTGAGGGATATTGTATTCTAAGTAAGTTACTACAGAGCATGGTGGCCCATGCCTGTAATACCTGCACCTCCAGAGACCGAGACTGAAGTATTCCAAGTTTGAGGCCAGCTCAAACAAGCAAGACCCTGTCTCAAAATAAATAGAAAGGACTAGGGACGTAGCTTAGGATGTAGCTCAGTTGTAAAACTCTTCTGGATTTAATCCTCAGTATTAAATAACTAAGTTACTATAAAATGCTATTATTCAGTAATACTTAAACACTGTATATGGGTATATATGGGTAGATGGGTATAAATAATTGACCTATCTAGATTTAAAAAATACTAGCTGGGTGTTGGTGCATACCTGTAATCTCAGCAACTGGTTAGACTGAGACAGGAGGATTGCAAGTTCAAGACCAGCCTTAGCAACTTAATGGGGCTCTAAGCAACTTAGTGAGACCCTCAAAATAAAAACTAAAAAGCACTGGTGACATCAGTTAAATCCCTGGTCCCCCCCCCCAAAAAAAAAAAAAAACACAAAAAAAAACCAACACAAAACTTTTATGATCAGAAAGTAGATAAGTGAATACATGCTCATTTAGAGAAAATACCTGTTTTTAAATTTAAAAAGACATTTTCAAGTCTTAAGTCAGAGAGGAAATAAAAATATAGAATGGGGGCTGGGGTTGTGGCTCAGTGGTAGAGCACTTGCCTAGCATGCATGAGGCATTGGGTTTGATCCCCGGCACCACATAAAAATAAAAACAAATAAAGGTATTGTGTCCATCTACAACTAAAAGAAAATATTTAATATATATATATGAAATATATATATTAAAACCTGTAGACATGGATGAAGCTATACTCTGAGGCAAATGCATAGTCATAAAATGCTTTCATTGTTAAACAGTTTAAAAGGAAGATAGAAATTATCCATCCATGGCAAGAAATTAGAAGGAAAGACCCATTAAAACAAGAGAAGATGATAAATATAAAAACAAATTAATAAATTAGATAATCTAAAAACTAATATTAAATCTAGAAAGCTGGTTGTTAGAAGGGTACCATCAAATTTTAACAGGATTAGATTTGCTCTGTTAAGGAAAAGGGCAAAAACGTGAATAAGAATGCAAATGAGCAGTCTGTTAAATACTTTGATTTTTTTCCCTCAGTATTTTCTGAAGTCTTGACAAACTGCACGATGGTTTGGCAAGTGATTTACTTTCAGTATGAGCCAGTGCAATCATAAAACATAACCAACAGGTATCTCTTAAACATTAATTCTTTTTCCTTCAGAAGACATTTATTTTATCTTTGTGTATGGGATATAAAATATTTTAACATTTGATGTTTTTACCTTAACATAGAATATGGAGGGTTTCCATGATCATATTTTTTCTGTGGGTGTGTGGTACATATTCTGAAGTTTCGCTGTGGGAGAGTGTCGCATTATGTTCTACTTCAGTTTTAAGTGGGTGTCTTTTTTCTGTTGCTTAATCTGGGAAAATTATTTGCATTCTCTTGGAGGTTCTGTCTCTGAGAAGTTTAGTATGCATTGTCTGCTGATGTGTGTTTCTTAGTAATGTTTGCCCATTTCCCTTAAACTGCTCTAGTGCAGTTCTCTTTCCAGAACATGTGGTCAATGCATATCTGTTGAATTATATAATCTCTTGGTGATCAGAGTGCATTTGTCTAATAATCTCTTCTAAGCAAGGTTTTTATAGTTTAATGTTCTAAAAAAATTTATCGGATTTTTAGATTCATATCAAAGACATTTTATTTATTGACATTTGCTTACATATATACAAAACTAAAAATAAGTGAAACTGCTTAAATATGTGTTCAAAGATAGGTGTCTGAAAATACTTTAATTTTTTATTAATTTGGAAATTTCTGAAAGATAAAGATAATTTTACCATGTAGATAGTTGAAGCAAGCTAGTAGTACAATAATGACTAGACTGTATTCAGTGTAGTTTAGACTTATGCCATATTTATATTTTCTTTTCTTTAAAGAACTCCCTGATATAACATTTCTGATCCCTAAGAGAATAAATAGTTCATGGCAAAAGTAGATACTAAACATGGAAATTCAAACTGAGTAACTTGTCTTATATTTTTAAAACATTTTTCTGACTACTATGCAAAACATTTTTTCTCCATTTGTTCTAATGTCAAAATATTACCAGAATCTGTTTACCTAACATTATCTAAATGGGTTTTATTAAATGGAATTTTAAGACTCATTTGGTATGTTACTATTGCTCTTCAGGTCTGAGAATAACAGATGGTGCATTTTGATGTTTTATAAATACTAAAGGCCTCAAAGTCACAATAAACAACTTTTGAGACCATACAGAGCTATAACTATAGGAGAAAGTTTGTGAGTCTGTTCCTACTAGTGACATCTTCTGTTTTTGTGCAGCTGTTGACTATAGCAGCTTCTCTCTCTCTCCACACTCGCTCTCTCTCTTTTGCTAAAAACAAAGGGTCATTTCAGTGTTTGTTTTATTGCTGAACACTAGTATCTAGAATTGTCCTTAGAACAAAAACCAGTACAAACTTTAAAGATTTATGCTGTGTATATGTACAGACATTAGTTATAAATTACGCATTTCACTTTTTGAATTTGTTGCTACCAAAGTAATTGATAAATTGGGGATATTTTGGGGAAAAGGGCCCAGGAAAAATGTTATTTAAAAATTCATTTTGTTTCTATGTTTTTTTTTCACTTCAGATTATTTGGTGTACTCACATTCCCCTTGCTTTAAAAAATGAATATAGTACAGATACTAGTCCAGATTTATAAAACTATTGAGAGAGTTTTCATATGTTAAAAAGAACTTTTTGATTTTTATAAGAAATCCTAAAAATTACATTTTTTAAGACTTTTTTTTAGTTATAGGTGGACACAATATTTTATTTTTATGTGGTGCTGAGGATTGAACCCAGTACCTCACGCATACTAGGTGAGTGCTCTACCTCTGAGCCACAACCCAAGCCCGTAAAAATTACATTTTTAATATAGTTAAAAATGTGAATTAAATTTCTTCCTTTTTATGCATATGTGTAAATTTCATATAGCAAGTTTTCATTATCTGTGCATCATTATTGGAAGTCAATCTTCTTCCCAAATTGGGGAAACACTTATTAGTTTGATATAGTATACTCTATGCAAATAAATCTTGAGTTCTAATGAATATCACAGTAAGAATTACTAATTTATTAGCATTAGAAGGTGTTTTTTGTCTTATGTTAAAACACAAGGAGCCAACTTAATCTCACAAATATTTGTTATGACTGTAACTACTTCAGGTTTGGTTAATAGTAGAAATGTAGACTTTAAAGTTATATCAGGTGGGGAGGAAAGATATTGAATCAATACTGCTATATTATTCAGATTTCTGTCTCTTCTTTCTATCCCCCTTTTTCTACAAGCATTTCTACATACAGAATGGTCTCTAGTATCTAGAATTGTGCTTAGAACAGAAACTGGTTTCTGTATAGATGATTTAATTTTTCTGAACAAAGGCTACATACTAAGCATATCAAGACTTGTCTTAAGTTTTCATGGATTTATTACTAACTACTTTTGTGAAAAATGAGAATTGTGCTTTGGTGGGTGCTTCTAATATCACCCTAGTGAGTTTATTGGGGAAAAGTTCTGCTTATGGCATTGCTTTTAATTATTTTAAGTGGTTAAAATGCTTGTATTTCACTAACTTGTTTCACTAAAAATTATTTAATATCTTTCTAGTATTTACTTTGTTTTTAACATTCTTATAATTTAAAATTTTAAATTTGTTAAAAATTTCCCGCAGAAAACTACTTAAAACCCTTATATGACTACTTAAAACTCCGTACAGCTTAATAAATCATTGTAAGGTAAACACTTTGTAAGTTTCACCCCAGTCAAGGTACAGAACTTTGCTAGACACCCCAAAAGCTCGCTAGCTCCCTCTTTCCTAAGAGTAGTTCCAGTCCTGACATCTATGGATCTTATTTACTCTTCCTTATAGTTTTGTCATTCATATGTGCATCCCTAAATACTGTAATTTATATTTTATGTTTTTAATTTCTCTATAGATTTATAAAAAAGTAGAAAGGAAACTAAAATGGAGTACATTGTATAGTTTGCTCAGATGTCTACTGAGAAACTGAAGTTGTTCTCATTTTTTCCCCACTTAACTATGAACAAGGAATTTTTCCCCTTGTGTTAAGGTTTCTTTTGTTTGCTTCATCTTAGACATTTTCCTACCTTTTAATTTAAGGATACTAATATATAATTTCCTGAAATGGATAGAAATATGTTTTAGACTATTGAAACAAATATAATTATATTCAGAACTGTTTAATGATTTCTTTCTTCAAACAAAATTAGTTAAAACCATGTTGTCCGAAGAGTTTAAAATTTCTTACTATTAGCTTTGTTTTTTGATAGTGAAGTATGACTTCCTTTCATTCTTGATTAACGGCTCCAGTTATATAAGAAATTATTTCATTGAAATGTAGTAACCTTTGATAAATTTTTCCTTATTTTATTGATCACTTTGTCTAAATAACTTTATCATTATTCGGTTATTTTAAATTGACATTGCTGTTCTTTTCTGATTAATGTTTTTAAAGAGGGATTGTTCTGTTGTTAAATTGTGAATTTTTATTAAGTTGTTTGCTTATTTGTTAATAATGTATTCTACCTTTTCTTTGAAGAATGTCAAGCTTTCAGCTGAGGTAGAACCGTTTATTCCCCAGAAGAAGAATCCTGATACATTTATGATCCCTATGGCTCTCCCAAATGATAGTGGAAGTGTTTCTGGTGTAGAACCAACTCCAATTCCCAGCTACTTGATTACATGTTATCCATTTGTTCAGGAAAATCAGTCCAATAGGTAACTTATTTATTTTCTGTATTGTTTCCTGTGTGGGTTGGGGTCTAGAACTTGGCAAAACATACTCAGTTTTCTTTTGTAACTTTTAGACATTAATCCTTTGTTTATTTTTAAGAGGAATAAATAAAACCAAATGATGTAGAAATTTGAAAATTGTTAACATGAGTTATTTTCTCGTTCTTTCTGTGAGAAAATGGAGTTTTTTTGATATGTTCCCTTTATTAAGTCATTGAAATTTATTTGAAATAAATTTCCCCAGAGGGAGGAATGCAATATTGAGAAATCTCTTTTTGAGATTAGGTATCTAATCTCATAAACTGGCAAATTCAAGTTTTCATGGTTAGTTAGCAAATATTTCTAGACCCTGATTTTGGTTTAAACTTAAGTGTTTGTGCTGTAGTCACAGGATGGTTTAGCAAAATGCCTGCAATTCAGACAATAGTAGTTAGGATATAATTTGTAGTCATGATATCCTTGCTAGCCCTTCTGTGATGGTGTTTGGCACTTCATTGGAACTTCAGTTCATTTTATTGCTATAAAGAAGTACGTTTAGTCTTTTTCAAGTTATATTACACACAGAAAACTGTATTTCCCCAGCACAGTGGGATAAATGCATGAGGCAACTGGTGGCTATGGGCCCTGCCTAGCTTTCCTTGAGAGCTGAAGCAATCAATATTTCCACACATCTATAACACATTGTGGCACACTAGTGTGCCAATGCACAATGTTTTGAGAAATTCTGGATGTATGATATATGAGGCCACTCAACTACCTTTTCAGATATTAAATGTTCATGTTAATATCCTGAGATTCTTAATAAAAAATCTTGAGGGTTGGACAAATAGTAGACACTAAAGGATCACTATTGATTAAAATTAGCATTATATTAAAAATCTTTGACCTACTGAAAAATGTGTGAGTTGATTTTGTAAACCAGTAATATTTTTCTGTTTGACAAAATGGTTGTATACAGTATGATAAATTTAACTGGTTTTCTTTTCTTGTCTTAGCAAGTAATCTGAGAATTCATGAGTAAGCCAGCCAGCATATTATTTTTAAATATTTTTAGAATTATGGTAGTGAACATTTTTCTATTTTTCTTTGCCATGACAGTAGTGAGTGAGGAAAAGCTTGTTTCAATTCTCCACTCTCAAGGATTCCTCATTCATCCACAGTGCCAGGGGGCTGTTGAGACAGGAAGAATTCTTGCTGGTTGTTTATAACAACTGCTCTACAAGAAGCTCTAATTTTGAGGATAAGATGTCAATGGAGAGTTTTGCCTCTTCTCTTTTTTGTACCTGGAGCCTGCTTCTGTCGATAGGGAGAAAAGCCAGGAAGACCTGGACTTAACCAAGAAGTTAGGGGAATATAGGAGTGGAGTTGGAAGCCCTAAATGGACATGAAGAATGAGAGGTGGAGAAAATCATCCCATGTAATAATCAGCTTACACAATGATCACCTTACTCTGCATCTTGCTGAAGACTGTCACAGTTGTTAGCACTGGACAGGAACTTTGGACTGACATTGTTTACAGACCCAGTAGCTGGATGTTTAACTTTTAGCAGAAATGTCTTGACAGGGTTGAGGGCAGAGGTACAAATAATAATGGTATGTGGAATGTCATAACACTATCAGCATGGATTCCTTTCTACTGTCATTTAAATTGTTATAGGTACATGATGATTTCTATTTATAGCAAAGAAATTTATATGATTTGTCCTCTTTCTCAGAATTATTGTGAAGCCACATTTTTTTCTTTTATTAAAAAAGAGATGAAAGATTTGCTTTAGCATTACCTTTATACTTGTCAATAGATTTGTTCCTTTTTGATTTGGTTTTGCAGGCAATTTCCTTTATATAATAATGATATACGATGGCAACAGCCCAACCCAAACCCTACTGGACCATACCTTGCCTACCCCATTATATCTGCTCAGCCACCTGTTTCTACAGAGTATACATATTATCAACTGATGCCAGCACCCTGCGCCCAAGTTATGGGTTTCTATCATCCTTTTCCTACACCTTACTCCAACACCTTTCAGGCTGCAAATACTGTAAATGCTATCACCACAGAATGCACCGAGCGTCCAAATCAGCTTGGACAGGTCTTCCCATTATCCAGTCATCGAAGCAGAAACAGTAACAGAGGGCCAGTAGTACCAAAAGTAAGTGACTGTCTTTGGCTTTTAAATTTGATATTTGGGCTGTTAATACTAGTATAAGTAATTTGTTACTTGGATTGATTGTCCTTTAATGCTGAATTAATGAAATTAACATTTCATTCACTAGTATAAAATGTAAAAGGTTCATGGTTTAAAAATTTATTTCTCCTGTGATAATTGTTTTTTAGACTTATAGTTATCTTCATGTTCCCTCAGAGTTTTATGTAAACATAATGCACAGTTATTTCCCAATTATTTTAATTTAGTGATAAAAATTACATAGTGATATCAATAATAATAAATGTATCTTGTACTTAGTGTTGAATGGCTAATGCAGTTCAGGATATTCTAATCTTTAGACATCAGGAGACATTAGAAAAGAACATTGATGATTCATTAGATTCCTTCAACTTCATTGTTTCTATTCTGTGAATTTTTAGTAGAAATAACACTTTGTTATTTAAGAGGTGTTTTGCTATTATATGAACAAAGGATATCCTAGGACTGAAGAAAATGAAAGAAATATGTGAAACCACTTTAATTCAGGACCAGCCATTTGATTAAGTTAAAAAAAAATGAAGGCTTTGAAACTACAAGAGAATTAAGGTTTATTCTAGGCAGCTTTCCTGTTGAGGTCTTAAATATGAAAACTAAAAAACTAATAATAAGAAAAATCTCTTTCTAGTCAGCAACACAGCTGATGGACAACACATCTTGTGAGTATTACCATCAAGGAGTTGTTGCTTTTCTTAGATTCCCTTAGCCCAGCTTCTTCAGTGAAGTCTTTGCTGCTTCCTGCCATAATTTTTACAAATTAAAAAACAAACAATCAGCAGAGGTTACTTTGAAAAGCTTTTTGTCTTTGTTCATGGAAGCAGTTTGGGCCAAGGGAAATCCTTTTGGAACCTCTGAGAATGAAAAGAAATAAGTATTGAAAACAAGATAATAGTATATAATTTCCAGATGTTGAAAGAGTACGATTTCTCAAAATGCATTCCCAGTGGTTCAGCTTGGGTAGTTAAAGAAGTTAAATTCAGAATTCTATTGTGTAAATTGCTATTAAACAATAAATGCTCAAACTTTAAAAAGTGAAAAAAGGGATTAGCTTTTTAATGTTTTCTTTTTGAACTCCAAAGTAGAATTTTTTGCACATCATTGCTATCATGAAACTCAAATTTAGCCTTGGAGTAAGTTACCATGCTTTTTCTTGCCCTTTAAAGTAAAAATTTATGACCCTTTGTATGACATGATTATACCCTTACTATTTATTGTTGATTGAGGAAATGAAAAATTCAAGTAACAGTTACATATGTTACATATACATTTTTTATTAAAAATAAAAAATGAACTAATAGAGTAGTATTAATAGTTATTTGAAAAATAGTATGTAAATGTGTATAAAGTAAATTATTTTGGCCAATTTTGCTTAATAGCAGATAATTTCATGAAAACCTAGTAGAGTAACCTTTCCTCGTGGGTTCAGAGCCACTAATTTGTCAGATACATTTAGATGTGTTTTATAATGGATGTGTATTCTATAATGTTTAGTAAATTGAATAGGTTTCTTTTTTCTTTCTTTCTTTTTTTTATTTTTTGACTTAAATCAGCAACAGCTTTTACAACAGCACATAAAAAGCAAAAGGCCGATGGTGAAAAATGTAGCTACTCAGAAAGAAACAAATGCAGCAGGTCCTGATAATAGATCAAAAATTGTGCTTCTGGTAGATGCCTCACAGCAAACCGGTAAGGCAGGGGTTCTACACATCACTGAGTTTTCTGCTTTCATGCATGGACTTTTTAATTGTGGACTATACTTTCTTCAGGGTTCTAGACTTTCATCCTTCCATTTGTCCTACCACTTTGTGAGAGTCTATAGGACACTAAAACAATCCAAGTTCTTAACATTCTTTAAACTGCTTGCTGGCTTATGTACATTTTTGAACAGGGCTTAAGTTTCCCTTTCCCCTCCCTTGTCTTGTAGTAGAGGAACAGTTCAGAGATGGGATTTTGCAGGTCCTGGAGAAATTCATTTTGTTAGAAATCAAAATTGTATATGTTTTTATAACTGGGATTAAAGCTCTTCATAAAACATCCTAACTTCCTGTAACATATTTATGTCACGTTTTCTGTGCCATCTTTAAGCACAGATCTGGACCAAATCTATGCATGACACTTGTATTTTATCAAAAAGTAAATATTCTAGTCAAATTTTTAAACTAATTAGTTGAAAAAATTTTAAAGTACTGTGTAAGCATTAAATAAAAATGCTTTATCCTAACAATAGATAAGAATTAATATCCTCTCCCCCCCCCCAATACTAGGGATTCAATCTGGGGTGCTGTACCACTTTGCTACATTTACATCCCCAGTCCTTTTTAATTTTGAGACAGGGTCTTATTAAGTTGGTGAGACTGGCCTTGAACTTATGATCCTTCTGCCTCAGCCTCTCAAATTTGTTGGGATTACAGATGTGCCACTGAATCCAACTCAGAATTAATATCTTGTAATGTTCTTATTTTCCAGTTTATATCATGAAATTCTAGTTTGTGTCTCTGAGCTCAGCCTATTGTCTATAGAGTAGATATGTATCTCTTTTTTACCCATTGTCATTGACACTGGTAAAAACAAGAAAAAAAAAAAAGAAATCCTGTTAAGGATCCAAGGCCAAGAAAGAATTAGTTCTGTTCAAGGCACAGTAGCTTTTTTTTTTTTTTTTCTTTTCTTTTTCTTTCTTTCTTTTTTTTTTTTTTTCCTGTGTGTGTTTGTGTGAGAACACTGGGGATTGTGGATGGGAGGCAAGTGCTTTACCACTGAGATATATCCCTACCTTCCACCTTCCAGTTACTTTTTTATCTCTTTGTAGTCTCTGTTCAATAGATTGAAATGAATAAAATGGCTTACTTTTTTTTTTCATTTGGGTTATGCATTTTTTTTTAAATTAGTTATCTGTTCATAATATCCTTTTAAAATTACTTAGAACCCTTAGCAGAGAAAAAATCTGGGGATAGTTTAAAAGTATAGTTCTGGGGATTGTTATAGTATAGTTGAAGGGTTTGTAGGGCATAAAGCTGTAAGATTGATTAACAGACTCCAACAAATGCTTCGAGTTGCCAAGGAAAAGAATTATTGGGTAATGTATCCTGAAGCTTTCTGTATTAGTTGTTCTAGTCATAGTGATCCATTTCTACATCCTCTCAACTCTGGGAAGGCTTTTAAAAAAACAATTGTTATTGCTTCTTTAGTTTGCTCACTTAGTCACCATAATGGCAACCTTTTGAAGCTTAAAAATTTGAAAATGAGAAGATAAAGGCATCTGTTAACATTTTTATTCTTTAGTTTTTAATTTCTGAGCATTAATTGGTATCAATAAGATAATTAAATATTATAATTTGATGGGAAAATGGCATTATAGTTATAACAAATATACACTTTTGAACACATGCTTGTATTATCTGGGAAAAGTTTAATAAGATGGATAAATATATACAAAAGTTAAATGCATTTCAATATGCCACCAACAAATAAAACTCAAGAAAAAATATCACTTATAATAGCAAGAAAAATATAGTGTTTCTGGGAATAAATCTTCAGAGATGCATGAGACATGTATGCAGAAACTATAAGGCTTTATTATAAAATCTTTTAAAAAAGAAAACTAAATATCCTATTCATGAAGAATGATTTGATATTGCAAATGTCATTTTTCTCATAATTAGTCTGTAGAGTCAGTGCAGTTCTAGTAAATATTCCAGCAGGAAATTTTGCGGAACTGGACAAACTAATTCTAAAATAAAGGACAGTGGTCTAAGAGGCAAGATATACCTGGAAAACAACTTTTCTCTAGATATAAAAGACTTAAAATATCATTTTAATTTCTGTAGATATGTATTATCAGTGTAGTGTACAAGAATTTACAAAAAAAAAAGAGCCCAGAAATGAACCCCACGTATATGTGGAAATACGTATGTGGAAAACAACAGAGATCGCTTTGCAGATCTCTAATTTATATCCCTCCCAGATCTCTTCCAGGTAGATTAACGATTTAAGTGAGAAAACTAATGGTAGAAGAAAATACAGGCAGATCTTTATGACTGTAGGAAGAGAACTATTACTAAAATGAAGAATTTTTAATTTTTTTAAATTGAATGAAAGAGCCATTTGCAGTGACACATGTCTATAGTCCCAGCTTCTCAGGAGATCACAAGATCTCAAGAGGATCACAAGTTCCAGGCCAACCTATTTCTCATTTTTATTTTCTTAAAACTTATTGACAATTTAATGGGAATTTATTCAGTCATCACAAAGAGTTGTCCCACTTTCCTTGCCTTGTAGATTTTCCATCAGATATCGCTAACAAGTCTCTCTCAGAGAGTACTGCCACAATGCTTTGGAAGTCCAAAGGCAGGAGGAGAAGAGCTTCCCACCCCACTGCTGAATCCTCTAGTGAACAGGGGGCTAGTGAAGCCGACATTGACAGTGATAGTGGTTACTGCAGTCCCAAACACAACAACAACCAGCCTGCAGCAGGGGCTTTGAGAAATCCCGATTCTGGGACCATAAATGTACGTAACATTGCCTTGATTTATCAATCATCGACGTCACTATTATTTTGTGTCCTTTAGTAAAGCTTAAGTATCTGTTTTCATTAACAATTTCTATGTAGTGAGATGTTAAAAATATATTTGTATATTTTATTAGTAATAAAAATTTATAGAACAGTATTCTAAAATTGTAATAAGTATGCTTCTAACTGGAGTAAATTGTGAAATGTATTGCAAAGTGTATAATCTCCACTATTAAGGAGAAAATAATTCCCTTTTTTGTTTCCTTTTTTTTAGCACATGGAATCATCTGTATGTGCAGGTACTCATTTCTGAATATTGTTTTTGCTATATTTTCTTCTTTGTCCCTGTCAAAGTTTTCAAACATGAAGATTCTTGATGCCAGAAAAAACAAAAACAACTATAAATCTTTCAGATATTTAGATTAATTTGAAAGCATAGTTTGGCCCAAAAGAATTGGGAAAATGTCAGCTGGAGATATTCTGCAAGATGACATTTGAGTTACTGGAATACCACTTAAAGTTTATAGAAAAATTTTCAGTGTTACATTTATATTGCCTGGATTTCAGTGTGTGAAGTTAGGGGGCAATTTAGATTTTGGTTTCTTTTATAAGCAAATCATATCATTAAATATTTGTTGCAGGTGGTGTAAATTGGTCCAATGTAACTTGCCAGGCAACTCAGAAAAAACCCTGGATGGAAAAAAATCAGACGTTTTCCAGAGGTGGAAGGCAGACAGAACAAAGAAATAATTCACAGGTAATTTGAATTAGTTTTGAGAAATTTGGTTGTGAGGTGAATTCTTTTCCATTTGTTTTAATAATGGTGTAGTGATTATGAAGAACAGTATACTTAATTTTTGAAGATGCATAGTAAGTTATTTAGAAGTAAACTATTATAATATCTATAACTTTAAAGTGGCTTAGCCAATAAGACTTACTTAAATAATAAAACAAAACAATAAAATGTTGAATGAATGTAGTGAGTATATGAGTATATATTGTACCATTTTTCTACTTTTCTGTATTGTTGAATATTTCATAATTTAAAAAAGGATGCCCTCCAATACTGTTTTATCTGCCATGATTTTTCCTATCCATGTTAATATGTTAAAAACATTTTATGTCTTAAATCTTCTTTGAATATAAGGACTGGAACTTTGTTCATGTGTATGTTTGACTGTTAACACCCTTCTGTATATGGCATTGCCATAGTGATTGCTGCATTGTGCCATAAGGGAGAAGCTACAGACTGGGTTGCTTCCTGAAGGTCTTGAAGAGCAAGATTAAGCTGCAATATAGCAGAATGTGCTATAGACTACCACAGATTTCCAGTAACTTACATTGGTTGGCTATGAAATTAGGAAGTTGTTTATTGGTTGCTGTTTATCCTTTTTGTTTTTAGACAGCTTTCCTGGATTCCCTAAGTTAAGGATTTAAACCATCATATAAGCAGATGTGCAGATGGATCAAAGTAAGGGGCAAGTTTCTAGTGGATTAAATATGCCAACCACTTGCCTATTCTTTGCATCCCTGAAATGAAGTACTTCAGATATACCTTAACATTAATTAGGCTATCAGGAAAACAGGCAGAATAATGTCCTCTTCTCTGTGGTAATTGCAAAAATGCCTTGCTCATTGCAGGTTTGTGAGGCTCTTTAGCTTTATTCGATTAAAAACAGAAGAACTACAGAGTCCTTGCACAAGGCCCTGGGTTCAATCCTTAGTACCACACAAAACAAAACAAAAACAAAAAAGCTAAAACATTTGTTTATATAGATTAGATAAAATCTACAAAATGTTTGTTTATGTGAGGAAATTTTTTGTTGATGCAGACTGCTAATCTTGCCAAGTTTGTAGCACTGTTATTTTTGGTATCAGTAGCTCACAGGAGTAGAAATAATCCCGAAATGAAAAAACATTTTATCTCTGTCTCAACTGTTGAGAAATGGTAAAAGAACAAAAAAAGGAAATTAAGCAAATACACATGGTATTGTTAACTTTGTTTATTTTGTGTGTCTCTTCATTCCTAAAGAACTGAACCAGATGTTAAAAATGTGTTTTCTTTTTACTTGCTGTTTTGTTATGTGCTTTTCCTAGGTTTATATTAAGTTTGATTTTTTGAGATGTAGAATCTTTTCTAAGTCAAAATATTTTCCCCTTTTGCAATTTTTGATTGTGTATAGGCTTTCACAGTCTTTTAGAAGTCAAATAAATATCTGTACTTTCTGTTTCAAGACATTTTTATCTGAGATTTATCTTGATGTTTGGTAAACATACTGATGTAAATTTTCAAAGTAGTTAATCAGTCGTCTTAACTTTATAACACATTTTCCCCTGTAGTTTGTGCTTCAATTATAGTAATATGATAACTTCTTTTTTCCTTCCTGGTACCAGGAACTGAACACAGGAATGCTGTACCACTGAGCCACAACCCCACCCCTTTATGTACTTTTTATTTTGAGACAAAGTCTTGCTAAGTTGCTGAGACTGGCTTTGAACTTGTAATCCTCCTGTCTCAGTTTCTCATGTCACTGGGATTACAGGTGTGCATCATGGTACTAGCTTAATATACTGACTTCTTATATCTTAGGTGCTGTTTCTCATCTGTTTGTTCCATTTATTGATTTTTGTACTTGTACCATGCTTTTTAATTATAATTTTAAATATCTTTCATTTGTGTACTTAGTGTAGATTCAATTTTAAATTATGGAAAGGAGCTGGGCGCAGTGGAGTGTACCTGTAATCCCAGCAACTTGGGAGACTGAGGCAGGAGGATTTCTAGTTCAGTTCAGATCCAGCCTCAGCAATTGTGAGGCACAAAGCAACTCAGTGAGACCCTATCTCTAAATAAAAAATACAAAATAGGGCTGGGGATGTGGCTCAGTAGTTGAGTGCTCCTGAGTTCAATTCCTGGTCCCCCCCCCCCCCCCCCAAAAAAAAAAAAAAAAACTTACGGAAAGGATCTAAAAATGTATATCTTTTAAAGTGGCTTTATGATCAAGTTGATAAATAAAGAAGATGAAAAAGATTGTACAATGAAAAATCTCATTTTCAACTGTTTCTCCTTGTCTTTTGTCCTCACCTGTACCTGTTTCACCTTGATTCATTTTTTATATACTTCCAGAGTTTTTTCTTATCATTATAAGTATATACAAGTACTTGTAAGTATATACGTATACATTGTAAGTACATGCATATGAAACTTAGGCTTTGCCCCTTTCTTACACAAAAGATAGCATGCCCTCTCTTTTCTGTGCTCAGTAATATATCTTGGAGAGATTTTTATCATTTCCATATTACTACATAGTGGGCTTCCTTGCTTTTAATTTTTTAAAAAAAATTCCTAATACTGTATTCATATACCCTTGTTGATTTCTGTAGTTCTGTTCATAGGCACTTGAGTTGTTTTTTAACTATTGCTGTTATAAACTTGATACAATGTCATTTAGAAATGTGTGTACCAATAGAATCAATTCCTAGATAAGGAACTGCTGGTTAAAAGGTAAATTCATCTGTTGTTTTGGTAAATATCACCTGATCATACCAATTTGCTTTCTCAACAACCTTGAAGAGGGCCTGTTTCCATATAGTTTTAGAAATAATGTTTTCAGTATTTTGGATTTATGCCATGTATTTGTCAGCTATTTGTTACTGGAACAAAATACCTGAGACAGACTATTTTATAGAGAAAAGAAGCTTATTTAGTTCATAATTTTGGAGGCTGAAAGTCCAAACAACCTGGAAAGAATCTGTTGAGGGAATTCATGTATAGGAGAAAGGAATCACATCCCAATATAGAAAGCTAGAGAGAGATGGGGGTCAAGGTTGTTGCTGGTGGAGGGGTAAGGCTTTTATAACAACTTTCTATTGTGAGAACTCACTTTAAGGAGACCAGTATTCATAAGAGCAGCTCCCTCAGTGACCTATGGACCTTCCTCTAGGCCTCCCAGTATTGTCACTCTGAGAACCAAGCTCCCAACACAAACCTTTGGGGGTGGGGGGGACAAACAATTTTCCAAACCAGTTAGCATGCCAATTAGGTAGAAATTTTATCTTAATGTAGTTAAGCATCTTTCTAGGTGCTAAAAGGCCATTTGAATTTCTCTGTGAACTTATCTGATCATGTATATTTTTTGAATGTTATCTACTTTTTTTCCCTTTTGGGGGTACATTTTAAAATACATTTGATCAAGGTTTATTTTTTCAAATTATTAAAGTTTCTAAGAGCCTTTAATCTGTAATTAAAGGTTTTTAATTAGGTTTAAATCTTTATTTTTTACTTTGCTCATTATTACTGCCATGCACAAGTTTATATTTTAAAAAACATTAAGAAAGTTAGTTTTATAAATTGACTTTTTAGTCTTCTTTTTTTTTTAATGGCTTCTGAGTATTTATTTATTTATTTTTGATGTACTAGGCTTCAAACCCAGGGATACTCTGCCACTGAGCTACATTCCCAATTCTTTTTATTTTAAGAAAAAGTCTTACAAAGTTACTGAGGCTGGCTCAAACTTGCCATTCTCCTGCCTTAGCCTCCCAAGTGTCTGGGATTACAGTGTGTACCACCATGCCTGGCAGGCTCCTGAGTTTTAAATGAACTGAAAACAACTTGTCCTAACACCAGGGTTATAAAGGAATTTGCCTATGTTTTTTCTCTAGGTTGTTGAGTGTCTCATTTTCTTACATTTAAAGCTAGCCAGGCCGGGTGGCACACCTGATCCCAGCTACTGGAAGGCTAAGACAGGAGGATTGAAAATTGGGAGGCAGTCTGGACAATTTAGCAAGACTCTGTTTCAAAAATAAAAATTAAAAAAAGGGGGTGAGGCTGGAGATGTAGCTCAATAGTAGAGTACTTATTTAGTGTGTGTAAGGCTTTGGGTGCCATCTCCAATACTGGGAAGAAAAAAGATACAGAAAGCTTTATTCTACTTGGAGTTTTTCCACATATATGGTGTGAAATATGGATCCTATTTTGTATTTTTCTGGTAGCACCCAAATCTGCCAACACCATTTATTGAAAGATTCATCTTTTTCAGAGATATGAGACCGCTGTTTGTCACCTATTAAATTCCCACATGTATTGGAATCTACTCTGGTCTTTTCTCTTCTATTCCATCAGCTTCTATGTTAATCTATAAATTCGGGGAGAATGAACTACCTTGTGATGTAGCATTTTTCTATAAAATAAAGATATTTGTTCACCTATAACTAAAAAATAAATATTAAAAAATTAAAACCCCCAAACTAGTGGAACCAACAAAGTTCATGTGACCCTAATATGCAAGTATTCCAATAACCTCATGATATCTAAATACTTTCTGTCAGTTCTAAGAAAGAGTTTTGTTGATAGAAACTGGGAATCATGCATATGTAAGACATTGGGTTTGATCCTCAGCACCACATAAAAATAAACAAAATAAAGATATTGTGTCCATGTATAACTAAAAAAAATATTAAAAAAAAAAAAGGCTGGGTGTGGTGGAGCACACCTGTAATTCCAGTGGCTCAGGGGACTGAGACAAGAGGATCTTGAGTTCAAAGCCAGCCTCAGCAACGGCAAGGAATTAAGCAACTCAGTGAGACACTGTCTCTAAATAAAAAAATACAAAATAGTGCTGGGGATACGGCTCAGTGGTTGGCTGCCCCTGAGTTCAATCCCCAGTACCCCCACCCCCCAAAAAAAGGAAAAAAAGTAATGTGCAGTCTCCTGAAGTGGTAATAACATCTTGCAAAACTGTAGTGCAGTATCATCACCTGGATGTTAACATTGAACATTTAAGTTATAGAAGTGATCCATCACAGGATCTCACTTTCTGTTATTTTGTTTTAAGAATGTTTTATGGATGGGCATGGTGGTGCATGTCTATAATCCCAGCAGTTTGGAGGCAAGGTGGAAGAATCACAAATTCAAGGCCAGCCTAAGCAACTTAGTGAAACCCTGTCTCAAGATAAAAAATAAGAAGGGTTGGGGGATGTAGTTCAGTGGTTAAGCACTTCGGGTTCAAAAGAATGTTTTATGATTGTACTTGTATAATCCTTTGGGATTGGTTTTTTTCACTCATCTGGTTTTCTGGAGATCCATCATGTTGGGCTTGTCAGTAGTTCATACTCTTATGGCTGACTACTGACCAACTGTACTTTAGTGTGGATATACCATAGTTAGATTAACTGTTTACTCACTAAAGAACATCTGGTTTATTCTCAGTTATTGGCTCTTGTAAATAAAGCTGATATAAATAAATATTCATGTACAGGAAAAGGAAAGGTAATGATCGTTAATTGTCACATTTTTATATTTTCCTTTTAATTACCTTATTTGTCAGAAATTTTCAACTTTTTAAAATAAATTATGCACTTTGAACATTTATTGCATTGTACACTTTTGTATATTTTTCTGTAAGATGTTATATTTCAATAAAATATTTACTTAAAAATAATATTTTCTCTTTCCCTCCGGGGTTTATTTAAGGTTGGATTCAGATGCCGAGGCCACAGTACTTCCTCAGAAAGAAGACAGAATTTGCAAAAGAGACAAGATAATAAGCATTTAAACTCTAGTCAGTCCCATAGAAGTGACCCAAATTCTGAGTCTTTATATTTTGAGGTATTTTTTTCCAAAATCTATACATAAACTGTTATAGAAAATTTCTCATTAAGAAATTAATTTGTTGTACTGTAAATATTTCTTAGCATGTGACTCTACTATTAGATAGTAAATTATCCAGAAATATTGACTCATTTTTATTTGCCTTGGTTAGATATATTTAGTCTACATTAACTTCATTAATGATTATTTTATAAATTTTTGTCATGTGTGTTCATTTTGAGATGGTATATTAAAGTAGAACTTGATTTCATTTGGATTTCATCCAGTATGAAACTTTTTCTCAAAATTTTTTGTTGTTGTTCAGTCCATTTGTAAGATTTTTCATATTTGAGTAGTTCAATCTAGTTGATTTGTGCTGCCATTCAGGTGAGTCTTAGAGAAGGAAGAAAAATGTACTCTGTAGTACTACTAGTACATGGCAACCTTCCTATGGAGAGTGTCCATCCACCTAGTAGAATGCAGAAATATAAACACCTAATACTTGGTTGAGTGTGGTTGGAGTTGAAAGTAGCCACAAGTCACTTTGGGTTTTAGGCAGGATAGGAATAACATTTGAAATGGATTTTAAGGAATCAGTATAATTTGCTTAAGTCATACATCCCTGATAATCCATTTGTATAACTCATTTTGGTTGGATCATAGATTCTATAAAATAGGCTAATAGATGGAGATTAAACTGGAATTCTTGAGGTTAAAGGATAAAGATGAAAAATATGATATATAAGCTTAAGTAATTTCCCCAAAGTACTTGAGTACATCTCAATTATTCTATGAAAAACAATTTTAGTGTCTACAAATATGGCAGTTTTTAAATATGCACTAAACTATGATTGGTTGCATTCTTATATTTAAAGACTTTAGATATATATTTTCAATGTAAAAATATATATTAAATATACATTTTTCAATATAAAAGATGATATTGATTAAGAATTAATTTGAGTAGAAAAATTTAAAAATTTTAAGCTTTTAATCTTGTAGTTGTGTATGTGGGATAGAGAATATATTAATAAAATTCATATCTTTTCCAAATGATCTGAATGTGATAAAATCCAATTTAATATTTTTTCAATTACCTACCTGTTTGGGATACCTATAATTACTAATTTGTAATTAGTAATCAAAATGGAAAATAGGTGCAGAAATCCAAGGATGAACATAATGTGGCTATGCTCCCATGCTTTAATAATTCATTTGGGTGGGATTTAGCATGTACAAAATGAGATTTCCTTTTTAAGGCTGATTTTAAGTAGTTCAATAGTACAATACAGAAAATTATTTCCCCATTTTTCATTACTCTTAGCCATTATAAAAAGTTTTTTTTAAGAGTTTGCCCTCAATTGTTTTTATTAAAAATGTGAAATTATTTTAGGATGAAGATGGATTTCAAGAACTACATGAAAATGTAAATGCAAAGGATGAGAATATTCAACAGAAACTTTCTTCAAAAGTGGTAAGTGATTCTTTTTAGAAAAATAAGCAAATAGACTATCTTTTAAACCATGGCTATGTGAAAAGAATAATATATTAAAGGTAGATATAAGGAGAAATGGGCAGAGTAGTATACAGAAAACAGTATGTTTAGTATTTAACTTCAATGTTTCTTTTTGTATTTTGTTTTGTTTTTGGTACTAGGGATTGAACCCAAGGTGCTTTACCCCTGAGTAACATCTCATTTTTATTTGTTTTATTTATTTTTAAAACATTTATAGCCTTTGCTAAGTTGCCAAGGCTGTTCACAAACTTCAGATCCTTCTGCCCCAGCCTCCTAAGTCATTGGGATTACTGATGTGGGCCACCATACCCAGCCTGAATGTTTCTTTTCTTTTTCTTTCTTTTTTTTTTTAATCTAATATTTTTTAGTTGTCAATGGTCCTTTATTTTATTTATTTATATGTGGTGCTGAGAATTAAACCCAGTGCCTCACACATGTTAGGCAAGTGCTCTACCTCTGAGCCACAATCCCAGCCTGTGAATTTTTTTTTAAGTTGTCAGTGGATCTTTATTTTATTTATTTTATAGGCAGTGCTGAGAATTGAACCCAGTGCCTCACACAAGCTAGGCAGTCTCTCTACCACTCCAGCCCCAGAATGTTTTCTTTTTAACATAGCCAAAACAAAGATATTTTCTTTGAAATCTACAGTTTCATTACAAGACCAGAAAATATCATTAATTACATAATGAAACATGTAACAATCTGTACAGAAATTTTCTCAATTAGTGAAAAATTTTACTTTGGAGATATTTTGTTTCATTTCAGAGGTCAAAGATCCAGACATGGGTCACTCATTGCAGTAAGCTGTTGTCCCTTTTTTCCAGGCTGAAATGGTCCACTTTCTCACTCTGTTTTATGATGTCAAATCTGTACGTTACAGAACATGTCTCATTCTGGATTTCTTCCTTATGATTAGACTTTTATGAGATCACTAACAAATGTTTTTCTCTGGTTATTAATAGTTGGATGATTTACCTGAAAACTCACCAATCAATATAGTTCAGACTCCAATTCCCATTACCACTTCAGTTCCTAAACGTGCAAAAAGTCAGAAGAAGAAAGCGTTAGCGGCAGCTCTTGCCACAGCTCAAGAATATTCTGAAATAAGTATGGAGCAAAAAAAATTACAGGTATATAGTGATTTATATGAACAATTATGATAATTTATTTTCTAGGTTTAATGGGATGGATAGGAGTAATAAGCATATAATAATGGTAACTTGTTATACTTTCATACCACAACAAAAAAATAAATATTTTCATATTCACTTTGCAGGAAGCTTTATCAAAAGCAGCTGGAAAAAAGAATAAAACACCTGTGCAGCTAGATTTAGGAGACATGTTAGCTGCTCTGGAAAAACAACAAGCAGCAATGAAAGCACGGCAGATTACTAATACCAGACCTCTGTCATATACAGGTAGTTATATCATTAGTCTGGGTAATTTGCTATTTGGCTTTGGCAATATATTTTGAATATTATTAATCTAAATTTATATTTATTTCTATATATGTGTATATACATGTATTTATGATCTAACTTAAATTGTATATATATGTATATATGGATACATATACATATTATATATATGCAATTTTAGTTAGCACAAGCCACAATCCTCAAAATTGTCCATGTCTCTTCACTTTCCATATCAAGTCCAAGTTCTTCAGTACATCCTGTCTATTCTGTCTTCAAATATATTCATAATTTACTCACCAGATCCTTATCCTGTCATCCTGAGACTGTCCATCATTATATTATACTATTGTAGTTTCTGACTGCTCTCTACCCATCCCTCAGTTTCTCTCCCTCCCTCCCTCTGTTTCTCTCCCTCCCTCCCTCCCTTCCTCCCCCTTTCCCTTTTGGGTACTGGGGATTAAACCCAGTGGTGTTCTACCACTGAGCTACATCCCAAGACGTTTTTATTTTTTCTTTTGAGAAAGGTCTTGGTAGGTTTCCCAGGTTGCCCTCAAAGTTGCTATCCTCCTGCCTCAGCATCCTGAGTCACTGGGATCACAGGTGTATACCATCATGCCTGGGCCCCCCAATTTATCTTAAAAGAACTGGTCTTTTAAAGATATAATCCAGATTATATCTGGCTTCATCTCACTTGGAATAAAGCCTCATTCTGCCCCCTTTGCCTCTTCACCTTCATCACCATTCTCTCCTGACACATTCACCATCTCAGGTATACACAACATGCTTCTAGCTCAGTATCTTTGGGCTTGCTGTTCCCTTTTCCTAGAATGCTGCTTCCCTGGATATCAGTATTGTTTGTTCCCTTAGGTCCTTCAGATCTCTGCTAAAATGTCAATTGGGCATTTTGAACCAACCACATTTTTTTCTTCTTTAATGGTTAGAATAAAAATCACAAGTTATTTGGTTCTCCTGGTATATTATCCAGTTAAAATACCAAACAGAAGTTTTGGTCAAATTTTGTGTGTGTGTATGAGAAAATGATCTGATTTTCTACTGAAACAGTAATTTCTATTTTAACAAACTTTGTCAGTTTTAGAGCTCTCAGCAGTTCTAATGTGCTCCCTCATTTCTTTGTTATAGTCTTTGTTTTAGAGGGTGAGGAATAGGACAAAAGGGAAGGGAAAGGCATTAATAAAAAGCACTAAAGCTAAATGGTGGAATGAATTCTATGTGTTCTGTTCCAGTGGTGCTTATTAGAAGACTAAAAGATAAATAACAGTGTATAACTGTCATCTGTATGCAAAATGTTTAAACCTATAGCTAGTTACCATTCCAATATAAAACATTGCTTTGAGTCACTGTTAGTAAAAGTAATATTGAATGTGTGCTAAGCTTTAGAGTTACATGTTATTGAGATGGGGGAGTGGCAGTAACAACTCCCTGTAGTCTTTCCAGAACAAAGCAGTGTTGGGGAAGAGGCATGAACTTGTAGCTAAAAGCAAGAGCTCTGAAGTCAAACTGTCTGGGTTTGAATCCTGCTCTTCTACATATTTATTTGGGAAGTTACTGTGCTTCAATTTCTTTACATTAAAGTGGGGGTATTGATAATACTTACTTCAGGATTGTTTTGGGAAGTAAAGAGATGATGCATGTAAAGAGCTTAGAGAATTTGGATTATATCACTCAATAAATGTTAACTAATATTATGAAGAAGAGATTGTTAATCTGTAATATTTCAAATGAGTTATTACAACTTTGATTCATTTAGCAAATGTTAATCAATAGTAAATAACTTTGCAAAATATGCGGTCAGAAACTATTGGGATTACAGAGATGGTGAAGATAAACTTTTTTGTTCAAGAAGTTTAATCTAGTGAGATTAGAAAGACATACACAGCTAATCAAAAGCAGCACTTTAGGAAAGATACCAGCAAAGTTTTGTAAACCCTTGGAAGAGTGAGAGAATGATGTATGTCAACGTGGAGATAGGGGAATGGTGTTATAAATCATTTCATATAAGATAGTATTTGAACTGGGCTTAAAGAAGGAATAGCATTCTCTCTCTGTATTTTTTTACACTTTATTTTATTTAGTTATTTATTTTTATGATAGTAGGAATTGAGCCCAAGGGCAATCTACCATTGAGCCATATCCCCAGCCTTTTTATATTGAGACAGGGTTTCACTAAATTGCCCAGGTTGACCTCCAACTTTTGATCCTCCTGCCTTGGCCCTGGTGTTGCTGGGATATAGGTGTGCGCTATCATACCCAGCCAGGAGTAGACTTCTTGATAGATAGAAATGAGATTAACTTCTAACCAGTCACCAGTGTTTAAACTGGAAGTGTTGATTACAAAGAATGCTACTGGAAAGTTCAAGAAAAGAATGAGACTGCGGTAGTGATGAAAAAGAATTGTAAGGAATTGATAGGCTTTTTCAATGGTAGGATGTAGAAACAGATCAAAGATGATTCTTTACTCTGGCACAGAGTGTGTGGTGAAAAGAGCTATGATGGTAAAACACAAAGATCATGGAAGAATTTTGTTGGGAAGAATAGGCAGGAGCCTTGATTTAAAATGCAAGCAATAGAGGTCCTGTGGTTCTTATTTGACATGAGTTATGAACGAATAGTTTAGGTTAGAGATCAGTGACTTTCAAATAGAATTGTTGAAGCTATGGAAATAAGGTTGTTGGAGGAAGGGAAAATTGGGGAAAAGATGTTCAGGGATAGAGCCTTTTGAATGTGCAAATTTTTAGGACAAACAAAGAAGAACTAGAAAAATAGAATTGAAAAAGAGTAAAAAAAAAAAAAAGTGGAAATCACAGAAGGCAAGGAAGAATTTTGAGGAAAACTATAATGGGCCAATGCCCAAGAAAATTAGAAGGGAGTAAAAAAAGAATTTTATTTGGCAATTGCAAGGTTATGTGTGATCTTTACAATAACAGTTTCAAGTGAGTGAGTAGGGCAAAGGCCAGATTGTAATGATTTGGAAAGTGATGATGGGAGAAAGACTGTTTCCAGGGAAGGAAAGAGGAGCTGTGGTGCCTTAGCTTGAAGGAAAGTTAGTCAAAGGAAAGACTTTGTCACCCTCAACAACCTTTTTTTTTTTTTTTTTGGCTTGTTGTGAGAGGTCAGGGAAAAGAATCAAGGGTTAGGGAGGAAATTGAAAAATGCAAGGGGAAAGTGATAGAGCAAGATCCTAGAGGAACTGAGATGGAAGTAAGAACAGAGTGGTTGGTGAGCCTTAGACAGGAGTGAGAATATCTGCCACTTCCTTTCTTGTGGTTAATAATTTATATTAAATAGCATCCTTTCAGGGAAGTGGTAGAAAAGCTCTGCTAGAATAAAAAAAATGAGGTTATCATTTTTAAGGTTTAGGAATGTTAAAGGGTTGGAGGTAGTCATTGGAGAATAAGAGTATTGTTCAGTCATAAAAGAACTGCTATATGGTACCTAGAGTGTAGGCTGAGGGGGGAAATCAGCATTTTTGCTGACAGATTAAAATAAGGAAAGGAGCGATGGGCTACATAAGTTTCTTATATAAGTGTGAATAGGTGATTAAGTAGGAATGAGAAGAGGTTCAGTTTTGAAACTTCAAAGGTAGAATGGCTTTGACTGAAGACCGATTGTAAAGAATAGCCGTGCATAAAGGTTGCTGCAGTAAGGTAGAACTAATTTATCCCTACTTTGGACCTCCAGATTGGCTAATTGCTTTGGCTTTATGCTTTTTATCTTACGAAAGCTAAAAATTTGGAGGTTTTTCTTAGGGACTCTGCTCCGAATATTATGATGTCTGTTTTTTTTTCCTACAAGAAGAGGATGTTCTTGTTTTTGTGGATTTATTTTTGGAAACTTTGAAAGTATATTAAATTGATCATTATAGTAAAACTAATTTCTTTTTTGTTTTTAGTGGTTACTGCAGCTTCTTTTCACACTAAAGACTCTAACCGAAAACCTTTAACAAAAAGCCAACCCTGCTTGACATCTTTTAATTCTTTGGACATTACTTCCTCTAAAGCAAAAAAAGGAAAAGAGAAGGAAATTGCAAAACTAAAACGGCCTACAGCACTTAAAAAGGTAAACCAAAATCTGGGGATGTTTATTTTATGGGATGAATAAGGGATTTAATCTGTTTTTGTAAAATTAACTGTGATGTTTTAGCCACTAAATTATTGGGAAGTATTCATATTAATGCATTTTTAAAACTAGTTAATTTGAAGTCTGGGATATCACAATGATGATTGTCTTTCTGTGAGGAACAAGGCCCTAGAGAATGATTTTTTTTTTCATATAAAATTTAAAAAAAAAAAAAGTTGAATATCCCAAAGCATTAGACCCTAAGGATCAAAAGCCTGTGGGGTTTTTTATTTGTTTGGTTTGTTTTGTGTGTGTATGTGTAAGTGTATGTGTGTGTCAGTGCTGGGGATTGAATTCAAGTCCTTGTGCATGCTCAGCAAGCTCTCTATCTCTAACCCCAACCCTGAACTTTAGTACTAACTTTATCTTAGTACTTAGTTTTAAGTAAACTTTTTTACTTTCATTTTTCTCATCTATAAATTGAAGGTGATATTTGCTTTGGTTAACTCTATCAGAAGGATTTGAATGACATAATCCATGTACAAATAATTGAAAATGGTGAAATGTAACTCAGTATATAAACTGGTTTCCAGACTTTTAAACTGAAGTTGCATTTTTGGAAACTCCAATTTATCACTCAGGATTTAAAGAATGAAGCAGATATAGTTTGATAGCTAAATGTTCTCAAGCACAATTGCTTCCCTTTATTTTTGTGTGCAGTATTTCCTTCAAACTATAGTGCATAAAATTATATTTACCTTTTCCCAGTTCATTTATATAACCTACTAAAATCCTCATGTCCATGTAAAGGCAAACTATATACCTCTGTTTTAGTGTACATTGTAATCGACTGGTATAATGACTTTTTTAGGTTATTTTGAAAGAAAGAGAGGAAAAGAAGGGACGTTTAACTGTGGACCATAATCTTTTGGGATCTGAAGAGCCAACAGAAATGCATTTAGATTTTATTGATGATTTGCCACAGGAGATTATTTCCCAGGAAGGTAAGGAGGTCTTTTTTTCTCCTCTTCTCATGGAATGGTCTAGAGCATTTTAATTGAAGGATGAGCTATTGCTGGTTATGTTCATATGTGGAGGATGTGCTCCATTATTTTGCATAAATTTCTTTGTTTTGGGGAGTGATTTCCTTTGAAGATGTTTTTAGACCGAGGATAGCTGGAGGGTGGGGCAAGTGTTATAGTGAATCTATGACATTTTATTATAAATTTCAGAATTTGTAATAAACCCTCAAAATTAAGATCTCACTAGTTCTTCTGATACTGTCCCCTTTAAAAAATTTTCTCTTCTTTTGTATCTGAAACTCTATTGGTTATCTTTCTTCAAAGAGGTATTTTTCATTTTTGTTGATTTTCTTTTTGCTTTTAGGAAATTGCTATGTATGTGTGATAGAGAATTGCAGAGCAGAGCCCAGTTAGTCAATAAGATTCAGTCCCATATAATAAATACTGAACACATACGATTTTGCAGTACATTTAAATCTAACTGATACACAGATTAAGCATTAGTGTTTTGTTTTCAGAGAAATGAATTTACTTCCATGGATTATTCATCTAGGGCATATTTGGTTAAGTTCCCCTTTATTCTCATTTATCTCCCTTTGTATTTAGGATTATTCATCCATCTATTCATGCAGCAAATGTTTATTGAATCCTACCACATGTATTTTATTAACTAGCAAGAATAGGGAGGTTGGGGAATATAAAGAAGATACGTAGTAGGCAGGTCCTGTCATCAAAAAGTGATGATCCAGTAGGGAGATAAGATAGATATATGTGCAACTTTGCTAATGATTCTACTGGACATAGAAATATGGACTCATTTCCTGAGTTGTGAAGGAAGAAGCAGTAATTGAACAAAGGAAATGGTAGAGTCAAGGGATGGCATCTTAAAAATGCAGCTCCTTAAGCACAGAAGCAAATGCCATATAAGAGAATCAGGAGTGGGTGTGGAGAGAAAGAGTGAGGTAGAATTTATCATTGCCAGCAACAATTGGAACTTTAAAAAGAAAGATTTCTAAGAAATAGGTGGATAAGTAGAGATGGAGGATAGAGTAATATCTGCAAGTAAGTGCAGATCTTTGTTCTTTAATTTAAATCCCCTGAGAATACGTGTTTCGGATAATTTGGCCTTTTCTCATCTCGTTTGTGGAGACTTCAAGGCTGTGCTTAAATTTTAAGAGCATATTTTTATAGATAATAGGAAGACTTAATTTTTGTAGTTTTGTAGAGAATTTTTTTTGTGTGTGTGAAAGGAACAATGCCTAACTCATTAGTTTGCAGAGAATTAGGAAGTAGCCTAAAAGACAACTGCCATTCTAGATTATATAGATCAGTATAGAGCTTTTCAGCATTTGAGGTTTCTAAATTCTTTCCCCTCATTTCACATCTCCACAGATACTGGACTGAGCGTCCCGAGTGATACTTCACTCTCTCCAGCAAGTCAGAATTCTCCATACTGCATGACACCTGTGTCACAAGGCTCTCCTGCCAGTTCTGGGATAGGCAGTCCAATGGCATCATCAACAATAACCAAAATCCATAGCAAAAGATTTAGAGAGTAAGTTTTTGTCTCTTTATTGAGGTTGAATAGTTTAGGATCTTTATTGTGGTTCCAAATCTAGTATTGTCATTGTTACTTCATGAGTTGAACATGCCAAACACCAAAAATATTTTTTTCAAATTTTGTTTAACAGCTGGTTTTGCTCTATTTGAAGCATTCCCTTTTGTCAGTGTTCATAGAGAGTGATGTGACACTAAATATATTCTGTTGATATCATATAGTGTTTCTACCCGGGACTACTGGCCTCTTACATCTTACATATATAATTTTGTGCTATGAGTTTTTCCCCTCCAAGTGCTTTTGCATATATACATACACACGTACACACACACACACACAGACACACACATACACACGTGTGTATATGTATATGTGTATATATATATATATAATTAATCCTTCAAAAATTTCTCTCATCAATCAGTAACATGTAATAAAGTTCTGAAAACCCTATTTTGTGAAATTAATCTATTACATAAAGCTAATTTTTTCCTTTTTCAAAGTGCTAGAAATTGAACCTGGGTCTTGTGCATAGTGGGTAAGCGCTCTACCATTGAGATACATATCAAACACCACCTATTTGCTTTTGCTTTTAAGCAGATATTTATAGGTTTTTAGAATTGAAACAATTAGTGAATCACAAAATGATACCTTATCTGTGAATAACCTTAAACTAATGGTTATTGCTAGGAAGCATTTTAGGGTTTTAACATTTACATAGGTGAACTACACAACCCTAATTACCTTTATTTATTTACTTACTTTTTGTTGTACTGGTAATCAAACCCAGTACATTGCACATACTAGGCAAATGTTCTACAACCAAGTTATATCCCCAAAACTCTTAATGACATATGAAAGAATCCCAGGGCAAAAGTATAGTCTGCAAGGAGCCAAACCGTATCAGTTTGTTCTTTTCCTTTTCCTTATTCCATTGTTTTTGAGCAAATACTTTTTGCCCAGCTTTCAGAAGTTAATTAAATGTCAGATAACAGATGTGGAGCAAAAGAACCATTTAGGAAATGTTACATATGTATGAAATAACAGCTTGAAAGAAAAAAGAATGAAGAAAATTGTATTTTCAATATTCTATTCTTTAAATGCATTCCTTAATTTTAATATTTTATGATATTTAATCCTCCCACAGTGTGTCCAGTTTTATCTTCTCTTCTCAAGTAATGTTGTACTTATTTAAACATTTTTTATATATATAATAAAATTCCCAACACAAAAAATTTCTTTCTTTTTTCTTTTTGCACTAAAGAAGGGCAGCCCTGGATTTTCCCACTATATAACTTTAAAATAGAAGTCTTCTATTTTCCTTGCCTATTTATTACTAGATTAGAAGTTACACCAATTCTCATTAAATGCCTGTTTTTGGTAAAGATAAGGGATGAGAACTAGAAAAGATGGAAAGGGTATATAAAAAATATGTCTAGATGATTTTCTTATCCTAGAAATTAAGTACTATTGTGACATCACATTTTTTCCTGTTTTCCACATTATAACCATACATGATCTCTCAAAGAGCCTCATTCAGTTGCTTTGTCTGATACAAAGATATATGACTACTACCCCAAGGTCTGTTTGATTTTGGCCTCAGTTCAACTATTGAGTTTATCCTCAATAGCTGTTGATTTTCGGAGCTAACTGGGCCATAAAGGTCATCTCATCTGACTCATTTTTGTGGTTGAGAAATGCCCAGAGACTTATTCAAACTCAAAATTAATTGTTAGGACACTCATTTCTTGTAGAAGCATCTTTAGTATTCATTGAAAAGAAATAACTTTATATCTTTTCACCAGAAATATTTCATCTGTTTTAACCACATGGCAAGCAAACATTTGAATTTGATTTATATCTTTAGGAATTTAATAATTGGATACTTCATAGAGATTATTAACCTATCCTTTACTAAAAGCCAATTTGTTGAAATTCATTATCAAAGATAGCCTATATCACTTTTATTTCTAGTTAACTGAGGGATTCAGAGGCTTTATTTATTTATTGGTTCTGGGGATTAAATCCAGGGATGCTTTACCCACACAGCTACATCCCTAGCCCCCCACCTTTTTTTTTTTTTTGAGACAGGGTTTTGCTATGTTGTTTCCTACTTGTGATCCTCCTGCCTCAGCCTTCCAAGTCATTGAGATTACAAGCATTCAAACCACAATTCCCAGATAAGGATTTAAAAGTTTTGAAGACTTGACTTTTCATGAAAACTTTTTATTGAATATAGTTTCTCTTAAAGATATTTTCCTAATATAACTTTATAATTACAGAAAAATAGGGTGGAGTTTCCTGTTGTTTTTTATGTTTTTATTTATCTTTCCTTTATAGGTACTGTAATCAGGTTCTTTGTAAAGAGATTGATGAATGTGTGACCCTTCTTCTCCAAGAACTTGTCAGTTTTCAGGAACGCATCTACCAAAAGGATCCTGTAAGAGCAAAAGCACGAAGACGGCTGGTTATGGGTCTAAGGGAAGTCACCAAACATATGAAGCTAAATAAGATCAAGTGTGTGATAATTTCTCCAAACTGTGAAAAAATCCAGTCAAAAGGTATGTACACTTTGATTTTGAAGTGTTTTGATATTTATTTGGTATAATTGTAGGGTATTTAAACACAGGTCTTTCTCTGTAAAGCATACTATGAAACAAAATATTGAGCCTGAGAAAAGAATGAAGTATTTCAGAGCCTAAAATTAACTAGGATAATTGGGATTGAGTTACAAAGGAAATCCCCATGTATGAATAGTGGTAAAAGAATTCTCTTGGGCCCATTAAGTGTCCCTACTGTTGTGATGAGAATGGAGAATAGTCAGAGTGCATTGTGCCATGTCATGCTTCTTTACTTATCCTTTTTTGGTAGAAAAGCTGCTTTAGGTGGATTGGAATAGACAGATCTGTCCCAGTAGCAGTGGTAGGCAAATACACAGGATAGAAATACCAAATAAAATCAATAATGTGTTATCTGTCTCACTGCATTGTGAATAGGTCATTACTTGAGCTGAAAGATTGGAAAAAGGAGTTAGCTACTATTAACAAATAATTTCTTCATTAAAATGTCTGTTAAATTGAAATTTGATTCCTGCTATGCTAATCTGTATGGAGAGACAAAAATATTGGGTTTGAAGTAACTTAGAATTTAATTGGAGAAAAAGAAAATTGTGTGTGTGTGTGTTTTAAAAATATATGTATCCATATGTAACATAAAGTCAGATAGTATAATATGTAACAGTGTAAGTGCTAAAGAATTCTCATAGAATCCTTTGCTACTGTGTTTTATGCTTTTGCTGTTGCTTGCTAGATTAGCTCCATTTAGGAAGTAACTAAATTACCTCCATATATGTTGATTTTCATAGGTGGTCTAGATGAGGCTCTCTATAATGTCATAGCTATGGCACGGGAACAAGAAATTCCTTTTGTATTTGCCCTTGGAAGAAAAGCTCTAGGACGCTGTGTGAACAAGCTGGTTCCTGTTAGTGTAGTGGGTATTTTCAACTACTTTGGTGCTGAGGTAAGAATAAGCAACACACACTCTTGTAGTTTTCCCTCCCCTCACATCCCCCAGATAGTACATTTTCTGTGGACACATACCAGAATTAAGTTTAAGCATATAAAGGAGTGAGTTGATGACTCTCAAAGAATATGTGGAAATTCTTGAGTATTACCTTTTCCTTTGAAATCAGTGAAAACATTTGTGTAGGTTATATTCAGTTTGAGAAGATCTTAGTATCTCTTCTGCCAGTGGTTTTTTCTTTTGAGCTCAGCTGTTTAATACTTGATTATTTATTCAACTGCTAGTTGAAGATATCCAGAATTATGCAATGTGAAATAGACACTGTGATGGCTATATTTTGTATACTAGGAATTAAGAGAGAAAAGAATCCTTTTTATTGAAGGAATTTTCCTCTAGAAAATTAACTACCTAAACCAGTTGTCAGAATAGTTTTGCACATATGATACCTTCACCTCTGGCAGTTTCTAATACAGAGCTTACAATAGGATTGATAATATGAGAGTTATTAGTTTAGAATAATACCTGTCAACTGATGGCATTTTAATTGTATATTTTATTTTTATGTGGTGCTGAGAATCGAACCCAGTGCCTCACAGGTGCCAGGCAAGCACTGTACCACTGAGCCACAACCTCAGCCCCCTGATGGCATTTTATGACTATCTTTTTATGGAGTTGACTCTTAAGTACTTTGTGATATCATGGGCAGACCATTTTCTCTTGCCAAACACACTATTTTTATGTATTTAAGTGTCTCCCCCTTTGTGTCCATTCACTGTGTTTGTATACCTCCCATTCCCCCTCCATTCAGTTTCTTTTCCTTTGCCTACAAAATTATCTACCCACCTACTTTCTATGAATATATCATAATTTGTGCTCTCAAAATTGCCTATGCTTTTCTCCCTTAGGTGTTATCGCATTTGTTTGCTATAATTTATGTGTGTTTCCCTTTAACTGACTTTTTTGAGGGTGAAAAGGCCCCTTGTCTTTGTGTGCCTGACATCTTTCACATTACCTGAGCGTGAGCAGGTGACAAATGTTTGTTGATAAATTGTGATAGATGTACATCTGCCTATGTTTAACTATATGAGGGAATTTGAGTGCTGAAAAAGAAGGGTCACATATAGATGTCTAATAAAAGTGTCCTCTTTTTAAATTCACTATTAAGAGTTTATCGAATAGGAACAGAGCTAGGGTCCAGAAAAGTGAATTTTTTTAAATTGTATCAGTTTCTTCATGAATTATATGTGTTAATTTATTTTTATAATTTTATATTATAAAATATTTGCCAGCTTTGCACATTTTTTCTTGCCCTCTAAAATACTAAGATAAGTAAATTATTATTTAAACTAAAATGTACTCTTAAAATAAAATTTTATAAAATATTGGCATATTATCAAGTATGTCCATTTGTGGTAATATGTACCTAAGTTATTTTTATTATCTGATAAAACCTTTGAATTAAACTTTTCTTATTCTCACATTTAAGACTTTTCATTCCCTGATCCTAGTTTTCTCCTTAATTTTTCTTCTCTTCCCTTATATTCTTTTATTCCTAATAACTTATGTATGTTGTAAAACCAATGTTAATCTCAAAATCATTTGTCCATATGCATATTTTCTTGTTATTGGTTGTACTCTAAATACATTACATTTGCATTTCTCTAATTGCTAGAGATGTTGAACTTTTTTTTATATATTTGTTGATTGATTATATGGCATCTTCTGAGAAGTATCTGTTCAGTTCCTTGGCCCATTTGTTGCTTGGGTTGTTTTGTTTTGTTTTTGATGTTAAGATTTTTTAGTTCTTTATATATCCTAGAGAGTAGTGTTCTGATATGTGTGTGGTAAAAATTTGTTCCCATTCTGTAGGCTCTCTATTCACCTCACTGTTTCTTTTTCCAAGAAGAAGCTTTTTAGTTTGAATCCATCCCATTTATTGATTCTTGATTTTATTTCTTGCACTGTAGGAGTCTTATTAAGAAAGTCAGGGCCTAATCAGATATGATGAAGATTTGGGCCTACATTTTTTTCTATTAGGCATGGGGTCTCTGGTTTAATTCCTAGGTCCTTGTTCCACTTTGAGTTGAGTTTTGTGCATGGTGAGAGATAGGGGCTTAATTTCATTTTATCACATGTGGATTTCCAGTTTTCCCAGCACCATGTGTTGAAGAGGCTATCCTTTCTCCAATATATGTTTTTGGCACCTTTATCTAATATGAGATAACTGTATTTATGTGGATTTGTCTCTCTGTCCTCTATTCTTCTATACCATTGGTCTACCAGTCTGTTTTGGTGCCAATACCATGCCGTTTTTGTTACTATTGCCCTGTAGTATAGTTTAAGGGCTGGTAAAGTCATGCCACCTGCTTCACTCTTCTTGCTAAGGATTGCTTTAGTTATTTTGGGTCTCTTATTTTTCCAGATGAATTTCATGACTGCTTTTTCTATTACTATGAGGAATGTCATTGGGATTTTGATTGGGATTGCATTAAATCTGTATAGTGGTTTTGGTAGTATGGACATTTTGGACAATATTAATTCTGCCTATCCAAGAACAAGGGAGATCTTTCCATCTTCTAAGGTCTTCTTTAATTTCTTTCTTTAACGTTCTATTATTTTGATTGTAGAGGTCTTTCACCTCTTTTGTTAAGTTGATTCCCAAGGGTTTTTTGTTGTTGTTGTTGTTGTTGTTGTTTTGTTTCATTTTGTTTTGTTTTGAGACTATTATAAAAGGGATAGTTTTCCTAGTTTCTCTTTCAGAGGATTTGACACTGATGTACAGAAATGCCTTTGATTTATGGGTGTTGATTTTATATCCTGCTATGTTGCTGAATTCATTGATTAGTTCTAGAAATTTTCTGGTGGAATTTTTTGGATCTTCTAGGTATAGAATCATATCGTTGGCAAATAGTGAAAATTTGAGTTCTTTTCCTATCTGTAGCTCTTTAATTTCTTTCATCTGTCTGATTGCTCTGGCTAGAGTTTCAAGAATTCTGTTAAATTAGAAGTGGTGAAAGAGGGCATCCCTGTCTTGTTCAGTTTTTAGAGGGAATGCTTTTAATTTTTCTCCATTTAGAATGATGTTGGCTTTGGGCTTAGCATAGCTAGCTTTTACAATGTTGAGATATGTTCCTGTTATCCTTAGTTTTTCTAGAATTTTGAACATGAAGGGATGGTGTATTTTGTCAAATGCTTTTTTTGCGTCTTTTGAGATGATCGTATGTTTCTTATCTTTACATCTATTGATGTGATGCATTGTTTGATTTCCATATGTTGAACCAACCTTGCATCCCTTTGATGAACCCCACTTAATCACAGTGCACTATCTTTTTAATATAGTTTTATATTCGATTTGCCAGCATTTTATTGAGAATTTTTGCATCTATGTTCATTAGAGATACTGTTCTGAAATTTTCTTTTTTTCATGTGCCTTTGTCTGGTTTTGGAATCAGGGTGATATTGGCTTTATAGAATGAGTTTGGAAGTGTTCCCTCTTTTTCGATTTCATGAAATAACTTGAAGGTCTCATGGAACTCAGCTATGTATCCATCTGGTCCTGGACTTTTCTTGGTTGGTAGGCTTTTGATGGTGTCTTCTATTTCATTGCCTGAAATTGATCTGTTTAAATTGTGTATATCATCCTGATTCCGTTTGGGCAAATCATATGAGTCTAGAAATTTGTTGATGCCTTTGATATTTTCCCCAATGTTTCACCTTCAGTCTGTGGATGTCTTTTCCTATGAAGAGGAGTCTCTTGAAGGCAGCATATTGTTGGGTCTTTTTTTTTTTTTTTTAATCCAATCTGCTAGTTTGTCTTTGGTGAATTTGAGCCATTAACATTCGGGGTTTTTGTTTATTTTTGGTATTTAACTTGACTTGGTTTCTCCTTTGATTAGTATTTCCTTTAGTGCAATACTTCCCTTTGCTGATTTTCATTATTGTTTTTTGTTTCCTTCTCATGGAACATTTTGCTGAGTGCATTCTGTAGTGCAGCCTTTCTAGTTGTAAATTCTTTTTAACTTTTATTAATCATGGAAGGTTTTTATTTCATCATCAAATCTAAAGCTTAATTTTGCTGGGCATAAGATTCTTTTTTTTTTTTTTTTTTTTTTTTTTTTTTTTTTTTTTTTATTGTGGGTTGTTCAAAACATTACAAATTTCTTGACATATCATATTCCACACTTTGATTCTAGTGGGTGGCATAAGATTCTTGGTTGGCATCCATTTTCTTTCAGAGCTTGGTATATGTTGTTCCAGGATCTTCTAGCTTTCAGGGTCTGGGTTGAAAAATCTGCAGATATCCTAATTAGTTCCTCCTATATATAATTTGATTCCTTTCTCTTGTGGCTTTTAAAAATCTCTCCTTATTCTCTATGCTAGGCATTTTCCTTATAATGTGCCTTGGTGTGGATCTGTTGTGATTTTGTACATTTGGTGTCCTGTAAGTCTCTTTTCCAATTCATTCTTCATGTTTGAAAAATTTTCTGATATTATTTCGTTGAATAGATTGTTCATTCCTTTGGTTTGTGACTCTATGCCTTCCTCTATCCCAAAATTCTTAAATTTGGTCTTTTTATGTTATCCCATAATTCTTGAATGCTTTATTCATGGTTTCTTACCATCTTTACTGTGTGGTCAACATTCTTTTTAAGATTATATATTTTGTCTTCATTGTCTGAGGTTCTGTTTTCCAAGTGATCTAATCTCTAGGTTATGCTTTCTGTTGAACTTTTAATTTCGTTTATTGTTTCTTTCATTTCAAAGATTTCTGGGTTTTTTTTCAGAACCTCTATCTCCTTATTGAAGTAATCTTTTGCTTCCTGTATTTGCTTATGTAGCTCTTTATTGAAATGATCTTTTGTTGCCTGTATTTTCTCTCTTATATCATCCTTTAATTCACACAACATTTTAATTATTTACATCCTGAACTCCTTCTCTTCTGTTGTGCTGGCCATGGATCCTAATAATGTAGTATCTTGGTTTGTTGGCGGCACTTTCTTCCCTTTTTCTTTTAATGATGCTCATGTGTCTTCCCTTCTAGCACTGTAGATCCAAGGCTTTACAGTTTTTACCCTATAGGCTTATAGTGTTTCTGCAGGTTTCCAATATCTCTCCTTTAAAGGGAAGAACAATGTGAACAGATCTCAATACAAATGATATACAACCTTAAACCAAAGAGCTGCTATTAAGACATTAACAGTTTTGTCACAATATACAGAAACGGTACCTTCAATTATTAGCTACAGTATAAACAGTAGGTTTGCAAAAGGGTCTTCAGTTTCTGTTGGTGGACAAAGAACCAGGGATGAGGTATAGGATGAGATGTTGGGGTAGGAAGTGAGGATATAGAGTATTAGATCTTAGAAAGCATGAAAGAGGAATCTAAAGAAGTTGGTGAATAGCAGAAGAGAGAGAAAGTGATTTGGGGGAGACAAGTAAGTGAGAAGACAGTAGAGTACAAAAGACAGACAAACATAAATATTAGGAAAAGTAAAAAAAATGTAAAAATAGGAGATAAAAGAATATACAACACCACTGTATATGCTATTTAGACATCCGAGTCCTTAGTAGCCTAATTCATGAAAAGTACTTCTTTCATAAATGTTGGGGATGTGAGGACCAGAGGAGAGAGAGAAAGAGAAATCCCAAGGGAAGATACAAGGATTGTTTTTGTTGGAGATCAGTATCTTTCCAGCTTCCCTTCTCATCTAGTAGGTGAGGTTGTCTGTTTTTTGCTCTTATCTCCACCCTCAGGATGGTGAAGATTATTAGGGTGTGAGGATTGGTCTTGGGAGTGTAGCTCCTGGAAGTGGGGTATAGCACTTACCAGTCATCGATGGGAGACTGTACCCCAAGGATCTCCTTTGGGGCCCACTTTTGTGATGTGGGTGCCTGGTCTTATCTCCTTATATTTCCTGTAGACCTCATTATTCCTGGTCTCTAATTTAGTCTCTAAACTGTGTCTCACCCACACCCTCCCTTTCTACTTCCCAATCAGGAACCTTTTTCTCCAGAGTCTTGTGGGATGTGCTCAGGGGACTGTGCACCTGTCTCAGAGAGCTGTTTTATATTGGGAAGTTCAGGACCTGGTTTTGCAGACTTCGGACTGACTGCATAGCCGCAGGCACTGTGCCAGGTTATCGGGCTGCTGGGAAGAGGGTGCAGTTGGGGACTTTTGGTACCTTGATTATGTTTCTAAACCTCAGCCAGTGTTCCAAGTTGGGAGTTGCCCCAACTAGAGATGGCGACAAACGTGTCCCAAGATGGAGGTGGCTGCTTTCAGTAATGGGGTATCAGATGTGGTGGGGCTGAACGGTGGTGTTGAGTGGTGTGTTCAGAGATGCAGCTCTGTGGCGTGCAGTATTGTGGCTAGCGGCTTTCATCAGACCCAGTGCAATGTCCCCAGGTGCAGGCTACTGCATGTAGAGAACTGTGGCAGTGGTTGCAGTGCCCCAAGATGAAGGAGACTGGAGGAGCCCATGTTGGTAGACATGGGTCCACACAGGTGTTACCGTCAGGACCTGCGCGGGTTGGTGGGCAGGAGTTCTGCATGGGTGCTGACGCCGGTGGTCCTACTTGGGCACCTGCAGGACCTGCATGGAGGAGTGGTCAGGAGTCCTGCATGGGAGCAGCTGTCAGGGGTTCTCTAATCATTCGCAGAGAAACCGTATTTCCACTACTTGAATCCCAGCTCCAGGAGTAACACAGAATGCAGCTTCCCTCTAGCACGCCATCTTGGATCTCCCCCTTGTTGTTAGTTTTTATTCATAATTATAAACTTAACTGTAATCCAAATAGAATAAGGAAAATATGGGAAATTTTGTTATTCATTTTTGTTCATAATCATAAAATTAATCCAGCTAAAATATTCTGCTTGTATAATTTGCCTTTGACCCAATAATCATGCTTACCTGTTTTGTAAATGTCATATTTTTATCATTTTCAAGGCCCTAGCTGACTTCCTTTTGGTCTTTTGCATGTTCTTCCAATAAATGAAATTACTGGGAATTTTTAATTCATGTGGAGACTGCCCTCTTCTACATCTGCAAATGTCACCCTACATATAGTCATCCCTTAAATCCTAATCCACATAAGATTCCTCACTGCTCTCCAAATAAGCCCTGTGCTCTCCAGATAAGCCCTGTACTTTTTTTTTTTTTTAATGTCTGTACCCTTATTCGTGGCTTTGTATGTTTAGCTAAGAATGCCCTATCTTTACCCCTCAAAATTGTATGGATATTAGGTGTCATCTTCCTTCATGAATTTCAGCAATTAGAGTTAATGTCTTATCTAAAAGCCATAATATGTTATACCTCTCAAGGGATTTAAGATATTGTGCCTGGAATTATAGCTGTCTTTTGTCTTTTTATAGCCACACAGAAAGTTCCACAAAAGCAAAGTTGGTTTTCCAGTCTTTGTACTCTCTGTGATAACAAACAAGACACAAAATGAAGTGCATTTAACTTGTTTTGTTGTTGAATTGATAAACTTGGGAAGAATTTTAAATATGTATCACAGTTAGTGGCTAGTGTTAGAATCAAGGAATTTTCTCAGACTTGTATAGTTCTATGGTTTGCGTACCATTCAGTTTTTTTTTTTATCTGAAAAGAAGGATAATAAAAAATGGACTAATTGGAATCTTCAGGGATTAATCAGAATCTCTGTTTCTTTTTAGAGCCTGTTTAATAAATTAGTAGAACTCACTGAGGAAGCCAGGAAAGCATATAAAGATATGGTTGCAGCAATGGAGCAAGAGCAAGCTGAAGAAGCCTTAAAAAATGTGAAAAAGGTACCACACCACATGGGGCATTCTCGGAACCCCTCTGCAGCAAGTGCCATTTCTTTCTGCAGTGTTATTTCTGAACCTATCTCTGAAGTAAATGAAAAGGAATATGGTAAGTTATTGCATACCATTTGAATGACTTAAACTTTAAAATAATTTAATTAATTAAAATAATTTTGTATGTAACTTTCCATTCTACCTTTTGTTCTTACCTTTATTTTTTTTAATCATCCAAACATTTCAATAACCCATAAATTTCTAAGTTTTCAATTCTGTATAGGACAATGGGACATAATGGGTTAAAACTCAGGAGAATTTTTGAAATAGGCATTCTATGAGACCCTGGAATTCAGTCACAGTTCCAAAATCTTAAAATAGCCAACGTAGATCTTAAAAGTAGAATGCACCATACATGTGACCTATCACTAAGTAAATATTAGGAAGTTTTATTCTAATAATTTATACTCAGTTATTGAATTCTATATTTACTAAGTAAACTAAAGAACTGAATACTGCTGAGTCCAATCTTATAAAACCTAGACACATGACATTTACTTTGAATTAAATCTAATTGAGATAAAAAAGAAATACAGACCCACAGTATTTGTGTTTAATGTTTAACATTATTTACTGCAGTCTGCATTTCAGTAGTCTCCTTGCCTTGTTTTATAATACTTTGAACTCTTTAACTTCTCTTCCTTGAACTAGTTTCTGTTTCATGTATCCTGTCTTGATGTTCTTTTTGTTTATTGTTTTTTGGGTTTTTTTAAAGAATAACCTCCTCCTTCTTTTTGGCATCTTGCTCTTCTTTTTCTTATGTTAATCTTATCTAAGAGTTTACCAAATAGTTTGTTATCACCTAAAATTTAATATATAGAAATCTGAGTCCCCATTTTCTTCCCATTCCCTTCCGTGGCTTCTTGTCTGTGATTGTAGCTAAGTGTTTGATAAATCATCAGGCCAGAGGCAATTAACAAGTTGTTTTTGGTCTTTAGGAATCAGTTGGTCATAGACAGATGTTACTTGCTAGAGGCAGCCATGTTTCTTTTGCTGAAGTGATAGCTAGTTAAAAATAAAATGAAGTAAATAAGTTCACTCCTCCCTCTGTATATATATTTAGTAAAAGGCCAAGTCTCAAAAGCAGTCTGCAAGATAAATCTATAAAGCAAAGGATTTGGGCTAATGACAGATAGATAAATAATCTCCATATGGGGATGTATAGGAAAAAAACAGCATGAAAAGAAACTCTCAAAGATTTAGTATCAGATTTAAACTGTTCAAAGATTGAAACTTGGTTTTTCACTCTCTGCCTAGGGGATTTAGGTATAATCAATTAATTTCTGAACCTCAGATTTCTCTTTAGGATAAAAATGTTTGAAGGAAATGTAAATATGCCATAATATTTTAAGAAATTTAGTGCTTTTAAAGTTTTTTGCATAATTGAATATATCTATAAATATATTAGTAAACTTTTTCATTTTGAGTACCCGCCCCCTGTACTTAGTATATGGCAACCATAGAGGACATAGGATTGGGAGTGAGGAGAGTTGATGTGTGGAGCAGCAAATAGAACAAATGCTTTTTGAACTATGTAAAAAATGCTGTGGGAGTTCAGGTTAGTAAATGCCTCTTGTGGAAAAGTCAGGAAAGATTCACAAAGAAACTAACATTTAAGGGTGGATATCAAGGATGAGTAAGAGTCTCAGGGGTAAAAGAAAACACAATTTGAATAGAAAGAATGTTGTATGCTAAAGCATAGCTTATGCAGTGACTACAGGCAGCAGTGAGAATTCAGTGATACAAGATGACATGCATGGGTTGGGGTCAGGATGAAATGGTACTGGAAAGATAGATAAAGGTCTGTTTTAATCAACTTTCTTTTTGCTGCTGTGACTAAAGATCTAACCAGAACAGCTCTAGAGAAGGAAAAGTTTTATTTGGGGGCTCACAGTTTCAGAGGTCTCAGTCTATAGCACCTGGCTTCATTCCTCAGTGCTTGAGGTGAGGCTAAACATTATGGCAAAACAGTGTGGCAGAAGGAAGTAGTTCACATGATGATCAGCAAGAGAGAGAGTTCCACTTACCAGGTACAAAATATATACCCCCAAAACATGCCCCCAATGTCCACCTGTGCCAGCCACACCCTACCTGCCTTTAAGCTACACTTAGTTAATCCCACTAGGGGATTAATTCATTGCTTGGGTTAAGACTCTCATAACCCAATCATTTCTCCTCTAAACCTTTTTGCATTGTCTCACACATAAGCTTTTGGGGGACACCTCATATACAGACCACACAGGATTGGATCATGAAGGGCTTGGCTATGCTAAGCTAAGGGGTTTGAATCCTGTCCTAGGGTGATGGAAAGCCAGTTAGATAATGATATAGTCAATTCACAGAACCAGTTAGGAAGATATAAGGCATGAACTAAAGCAGTACTGATCAAATTTGGTAGTTTTTGAGCTAGAAGTGACAGGATGAATTCAGGGGAATGAAGATGTATCCTAAGGGAGAAAGAAGACAAGGATTACTCTGAGGTTTCTTCACCTTTAAGACTGTGAATGGTAATGTAATTAGCTGAGACTGAGAATCTAGGAGAAAATTTTGTTTTCATGAGGTAGAAGTGAGAATGGGAAGGATCTGTTCATAGGAAAGGCAGTTTTTTTTCTTTATAAACCATGTACCTGACTCAAAGTGCCATAAATATGGTCTGTGTCAAAGTATAGTCAGTCTATGGGTGATAATCAAATTGAATACATTAATATGAGTAGGTTTCTTATTTCACTACAACTTGATGAAAATATTATACTTATAAAATACAAGTCAGAGCTGGAGTGTAATTAAATATTTTTATTTAAAAAATAAAAATAGAGGGGTAGAAGAGCTGTGTTTCATTTACTGATTCCTGGTACATTTTTTGTTCTATATTGATTTCCTGATATTAAAAATAATTTTAGATTATCACCACTGTATTATATAATAACATTTGGTACTTCAGAATCACTGTGTAAGCCAAGCTACACATACTATCAAACAGATTTTCACAGTATTAGGAATACATGGATTGATTCATTGCTTATATATGGAATTACATTCCCCAAAATATCTTAGTAACTTGCTGACCAAATGTGATATAAACTCTTGAAATCAGAATATTTTTGCTGGATATTTTGGCTCTGCCATCTGTGAGTTGTGAGTACTTGAGCTTAGTATAACCATAACCTGCCAACTGCCCCCTTCAAAAAGAAAAGAAAAAAAAAGTGTAGATGATCCATTGATTTTCATGAATATATGGATTTTATATATGAATGTCAGTTGGTTCCTGTTGGTATAAGAGCTTTTGCTTTAATTTTTAGTTTTTCAATCAATTTCTGAGGCCAACAAATTTCAGTATTTTGTTCGTCACTCTTTTTGCATTTTAAGTGCCATGATTTTGAAACAGTGTTTTAGCTTTTAAAAATCTGTTTGCTATTTGTAGAAACAAATTGGAGAAACATGGTGGAAACTTCAGATGGACTGGAAACATCAGAAAATGAAAAAGAGGTTTCCTGTAAGCACGGCACTTCTGAAAAACCTATTAAACTTCCACTTGACACAATTCATGTTAGTAAGCAGCCATCATTAGTGTCTGTAGGCAGTACTACCTCAGCTACAGATCCTGGGAAATCTACAGCAGGGGATAAAGAGGAAGTGAAGCCAGATGACCTGGAATGGGCCTCACAGCAGAGTACAGAGACTGGCTCTTTGGATGGTAGTTGCCGAGATCTTTTGAATTCCTCCATCACCAGCACCACTAGCACTCTTGTACCTGGCATGCTTGAAGAAGAGGATGATGAAGAGGAGGAAGAGGAGGAAGATTATACTCATGAACCTATATCAGTAGAAGTGCAGCTTAATAGTAGAATTGAGTCATGGGTCTCAGAGACCCAGAGAACTATGGAAACCCTTCAGCTTGGAAAAACTCTTAATGGTTCTGAGGAAGACAATGTAGAACTAGGTGGAGAAGAGGAAGCAGAAGCACCTGAGGTGCTGGAGCCAGGAATGGACAATGAAGCATGGACTCCTGACCAACAAGCCAATCCTGAGCAACAGAAGTCCAGTAACTGCAGCTCTGTGAACAAAGAACAATCTGATTCTAATTCTGCACCCCAAAATATATAACTCAGGAAATGTCACCCATCTCCCAACCATGTAAGGGTTGCAGCCATCACCTTTTATGCTTCATCTCAACATTTAGCACTGTCCAGTAGTTATATGTGTTTAATTCCCAACAAATATTTTTGTAGCTTTATGTATTCGTTATGATCAATAGCTTAGCTTTTAATTAGCATCAAAGTGTCTTTCTAAGGACTGTGCAGAAAATTCAGATCTGTTTCACCTTATTTTATAATGAAAATAATAATTAAAAGAGAAGACCAAGTTTTAAAGGAAATAAATTTAAAATGCCTATTTAAGTTCATTTTGAAAGCTTAAGATCAAGGTTCTAAGGATAAAAACAGCTGTCAGTGTTTGTTTCATGACTACAACTCCTTCACTCTTAATTTGTCTGATTAAAAAGTTGGGGTTTTTTTTGTTGTTGTTGTTGTTGTTTTAAAAAGAGCTAAAGATAGGCTCAGAAAGCTTAAAGGCTGAGGTTAATGAGTCCACAAAGTGTATACATTAAGAAATGGATGCAACTTTTATTTGGCCCATAAATGCTTACTTCAGAAGTCACTGATCATTATAATCCATTAAAGTTGTGATGGGCTAAAACAGAGTCTCCAGAATTTAGCAGTGATGCCACCAGGATAGATTAGAACTGGCTGGCCTCATTTGTAAAAAGTGATAAATGTCATTTATGATAATGAATAGTCACCCAAGATAGGACCTGTCAGGTTCTATCTTGAATTGCTTCTTACTTACCTCAGGAATGCTTTTGTACATAGTCTTATTTACATAAAGTTAGATAAATTTTGACAGGTGAATAACTGTAACTGATTGTATGACTGCATCACTTACATGTAAGCTATCCTGAAACGTCTATTCTGATATGTTCTCTTGCATGCTTCTGGTTCAGGACACTCTTGATTTGAGATATGGATTTGATTGGGCATTCAAACTTGTCCTGAGTACAAAACCATTTCATCTTTTTTTAAATATACATTTCAAGCCTAGCCTTGAGAACCTTCCACATAGCGACCACCATAATTACTGAAAGGAAAGGGAATTTTGCACAATTCATAACATGTATCCTGATAATCAAGGCTTAGAAGAGGAAGTTTTAGAAGAACAGAGAAAGTTGTTCTAATTGTGCTGAACCTATTAGATGACTTATATACAGATATATGCAGGTATTTTTTATTCACTATTATTTATCTCTGCCCTTCTCTAGGAGTGTGTGTACTTGCTTGGGAGAAGTTACACTTACTGAGCTTAATATTTTATTTGCTAGTCAATCATCACCTGAACTTTAATGATATCTACAAGTTTATGTAATGGTAGGAGAATTACAAATTATTCATTTCTCTGTCTTCCCTCTACCGCCTCCTCCATCTCCAACTGGCTAACATGCACATGTTCAATCAGCTTTCTACTTAAAAGCTCCCATAGATGCAAAACAGAGGAGGGAGTGTTATTTCCCTACCCTGATTGTATGGGACAAGGCATTGCCTCACAGAGGTGGGAGAGAAGAGTTGGGCAGATTCTTTACTGAACTTATTGGGACTACTGTGCTAGTGTTGATGTTTTATAATGCTGGCACTTAATTACTGGAGAGATTAGATTCTTGGTTGATAATATAGTACTTGTGGCTTACGAAAGTTTAGGAGCGTTGCTATATAGAAAATGTCAGTCTGTCAGCTTTATTAGTGTGCTAAAAGGGGACATTATTATATGTCCTGTCTACACTGTTCTCCAGTATAGACTTCCTAGGCACTAATTATTCAATACTTAAAGGAACACAGCGTGTAAGGAATGAAGCCTCTGAAATAGTTATCATGGATTTATACGTGGCAGATCTTACTGTCTCTACACATTTGGAAGTGTTAGTTTGTTTAAAGAAATGATAGAGGATTTGAACTACTGACAATCTTAAAAGTGAATTGAAAAACTTTTCATACTTTTTATGATGTTAATTTCCTTTATTCCATGTCAGTGATTCAGATAACTCTTGATCTTGAGGTAATGGCTTTTCAAAGGTTTCTTATATTTTGTATCTCTTCTGAACAGGAATCACCATTTTAGATTTTTGACATTTGTATCAAAAGAGAAGTTGGAGAAATCTTCAGAACACCAGTAATTTAATTTTGCTATAGACTTCAGAAGTATTTGATTATGTTTGATAAATGCTCTCACGCATGCAGTACCTCTTCTGCCAGCAAAACCAAGGGACCATAGCCTTTTTTATATGAGACAGGTCACTTCTAGAGGACAACCCAAGATTTATTAAAGAAAATGCTACTATGTTGAGAGTATACTTAAGTATGTATTAATGATGTCTTTATAATTTGTTTCTTTAAATTTTGAAATTTGTGTATATTGAACTATAGGCTTTGGATGAGGTATGAGAATCAGGAAAGTTTTATTTTTGGAAATTGTGTGGTTCACTCTTTGGAGACCTAGAAAGAGATCTCTTGGTAAGAGTAAGGGTTCATTAGCACAAGAAATAAAAAACATAGTGACTTTTTTTCTTAGTGTATAGTTGTTTTACTGGCAATACTTAATGTTAGATTTCTATTTCAGTATATAAGTATATGAATTACAGTATGAATTACACTCCCCAAATTAGATTTCTGCTTCAGTAGATTTGTTTGCTGTGAAGATTACTTCTCAAAAGACAAATGTTCATATTAGCTTAATTTTTTGGTTTAAATATGTTTGTAAATGATGTAATATATTTCTTTTGACTAAACATGGAAAAATAATGTGTGTTATATTGAAAAGTTTTTACAGGCTTTGACTGGAGGTCATTTTTGCAGAGATGGTATTTTATATGCTTCCAGTATTTGAAAAGAATTAGTCAAAAGGAATTCACATAGTTTAAATATTGATAAATTAATATCCAAATAATGTAATTGTTTGATTTCTTAATAAGCTAGGGAAGGTGGGTGGGGTGGGAATTATAATGTGCAAATGAGTAGTGATCTCTACATTAATTTTCAACTCTTTAACATAAAACTGCTAAACCGTAACACATTGTTACTTTAATATATGTATAAAAAAGTATTATTGTTTGTAAAGCTGCTGTTGGCTTTAAAAAAATAAAAAGAACTCATCATGTAAGTATTTTCTGTATGTTGTGCCAACAGGTTAGAACATTAATCTGCTAAAAATTTAATTAATTATCTTTTTTGATTTAAAAAATTTTTCTGTGAAGTAATTTATTTGTCTTCTTCCTCCCTTATCCTTTCAGTCTTTATACACACCACAATATCAACCAAATTTTTTCTAATCTGAAACTGAAATCTAAATCTTAATGATAAAAATTTAAAATTTGTTGGCACATCACACCTTAAAAGTATTTGTATTATTTTATAATGTAATTTCCAAATATACCATATGAGTTTATAATTTAATGTCTTAATTATAATGCTCTAATAAAAACTAGCAACATTAGTTGAGTTATAATATGAAGGGATTTTCATCTTGCTTTTTTGCTGTATGAAGAATAATTGTTATCACGTTGGGGGTAATAACAGCTTTTTTTGCACTATGTAAATTCTAGTGGGGGTTCTTCTGTACTAATAAAATGATTATTGAAAAGTAGTCTTATCATTTCAGAATAGGTACTCACCCAACATGTAGAGTAGTGAAAAAAGAAAAGCTTAATTTGTAGAGTTGTTCAGTGCTCACATAGATTTGCCAAAGAATATTGTAAAATCTCTAGGAAGGTATTAAAAATCTCCATATGGGATGGTTGGTGTGAGCTGTGGCAAGGGCTTAGGGCTGTAGCCAGAGACCATCCTATTGTTAGGAGGCTCCAGAAGAGTCGTCCTTTTTGTGAGTTCCTCTGTGCCAGACACTGTTCTAAGCCACTTCCCAAAAGTAACACATTTAGAGATGCCATTACCACTACTCACTTTTCAGAAGATGAAACAGTCATGGAGATACTGATTTGTCCAGGATCCCATAGATGGTCAGTAGCAGAACTCAGTTCCATTCCAGAGTGCTTGATTTTAATCACTGCTTTCTTGGGTCTCTGCACAAAGTGCTGAGGCTATACAAACTGAGCATACCTTCACTACCTTTAGGCATCTACTCGGTGTGAAACTTGAGGAATGAACTGATTGCTTTAGGGACTGGATTATTGAGCCTTACCTGATCACTTTCCCTAGAATAGTCACTGTCACAATGAAAGGGTGGGGAATCTGAAAGACTGGACTCTTCTCTATTCAGAAACAGTAAGATACTTAAACTTTATTTCTTTTATGAAAATTTTGGTGATCACAAAGGAGGGATACATCATCAGTTGTATCAGAAATTTCCTTTCTTTTATTTTTAGTTATACATGAATGTATTTTGACATGCCATGCATATATGGAGTATAACTTCCCATTCTTGTGGTTGTACATGATATGGAGTTACATTAATCAGGTATTCATATATGTCTAATTCATTCTACTGTCTTTCCTATTCCCATCCTCCCTCTGTTCCTCCTATCTCCCCCTGTCCTATCCAATGAACTGCCCCCCACCTATTGTGAGTCAACATCTGCATATCAGAGAGAGAGAACATCCAGCCTTTGGTTTGGGGGGAATTGGCTTATTTCACTTAGCATGATAGCTTCCAGTTCCATCTATTTACAACCAAATGCCATGATTTCATTCTTTATGGCTGAGTAATATTCCATTGTGTATATGTACCACATTGTCTTTATCCATTCATCTATTGAAGGGCATGTAGGTTGGTTTCATAATTTAGCTATTGTTTTAAGTCCTTTGGGTATATGCCGAGGAGTGGGATAACTGGGTCAAATGGTGGTTCCATTCCAAGTTTTCTGAAAAATCTCCATAATGCTTTCCAAAGTGTTTATACCAATTTGCAGTCCCACCAGCAATGTATGAATGTACATTTTTCCTCACATCCTCGCTAACATTTATTGTTACTTGAATTCTTGATAGTTGCCATTCTGACTGGAGTGAGATGAAATCTCAGTGTAGTTTTAATTTGCAAGAAATTTCCTTCGTAATCAGTGCACTACTCCCTGTGTTTTTTTTTCCCCCTGATTATGATTGGTTTTTCTCGTAACTGACCAGAAGAGGGTGTGCATGGCACCTGAAAACAATCAAAAGCTACCATATAACATTAATTTTTTAATGTGGAGAAAGGAAGTATGCTGAACTATAGGTCTTGCCATGAAAGGTGCTTAGTTCTAAGTTTATGCTCAGAGCTCAGGGAACATGTCCACAGCATATCTTTTTAGAAGCTTTCTAAAACTAACACTATTAAAAGCCATTTAGAGTAGTCAAGTTGTATGACATTTCTAAATTAGCAATTCAATCAGTTGTTTTGGCTCAATTTGAGTTCTGATGTTAAAGACACCAGGCTTATCCCATAATAGGCATCAGTGGAAGCCTGTGGATTGCTGATCCAAGGCATACTCCCCTAGAACTCTCAAGCAGAAGGTTTGGAGAACTGGGAGATGGTTCAGTTGGGGCTGCAGTCTCAGTCCCCACCCTACTCTTTCTATATTGACACTTGGAGTAATTATGTATTAACCCTGGGGCAAGAAAAGAAATGTTTACTCTTGCAGAAATGGGTTGGGTAATTCTTTGACTATAACCAGTCTGTGACTCTACAAGTTTCTAGTCTGGAAACAGGACTGGACCAGGTAAGAATGAGCTGCATAAAAGTTGGAGGTCATAGCAAGTGTTTTTTATAACACTGCCGAGAGCCAAAGAGAATGGCATTGCAACTCGGCAAGCTGTGCTCCTCGAGTCCTGTATAGTATAGGCTTCTATGGAAGGAAAGGCTGCTTTGTCTCCTTGGATGCATCAAGAACGGCCATAGCCTTGAATGACACAGAGGGGAAAGGTAATAACCACAGCCTTGCCTGGGTGGGATTCTTGATTTGAGGCAGCCTCCGTGGCACCCTTATCTACCAGGGATAGAGTGGTGTCAGTGAACCCACTACTTACTTATCATGAAGATTCTTTAGGTTATTGTTTCTCTGTTTTCTCTTTGCTTAATTGAATTGGAGAATTTAACTGTTTGTAAACCCTCAACTTGAGAAATGTATAATGAAGTTGAAATTTAAGCAGTTAATTTTGTTAACTCTAGATAAAAAGAAATGAGAAAGGTTTGAAAACAGGAGAAATGTCAGAGGTAATTCTCTTTGTCATTATTCTTTTTCCTAGCTTCCCCTTTTAAAGCCAGTATGGCCCACAAAGTCAAAAATATTTACTCTTTGGCCTTGTACAGAAAAAGGTTGTGAACCACTAAGTTGTGATGATGTCCACAACAATTTACACTCATGTGATTTTCCCCTTCAGTTCTTTTGTTTCTAGAGACGATATATCTGTTGTGAATTTACGTATTTTAAATCACATTCAGCTCTGCCAGCTGGTAGGTGTGTGGACACGTGGGAGGAGTGCCATCAGAAGCAGGCCTGGATGCTGTGATTGTACTGAGACTTGGGAAGCCTGAGTTCTCATTTCTCCATTCTTGCGTTAGCTTGAATGTGAACAAAACACCTGACAAAAACAACTTAGAGGAGGAAAAGTTTTATTTTGGTTCCGTTTCAGAGGTTCAATCCATGGTTAGCCAAACCCATTGCTCTGGGCCTGAGGCAAAGCAAAATATATGGCAGCAGGGAATGATGAGAAAAGCTGCTCAGATGATGGCAGCCAGGAAGCAGAGAGAAAGGGGAAGGAGCTACAGCAAAGATGGAACTCTCCCAGGGCACAGCCCCAATGACCCATCTCCTCCAGCCATACCCACAGGCCTATGATTAGTCCATTCAAACTAGGATGGGGACTGATTAGGTTACAGCTCTCTATCCAATCTCCCACCTCTGAATATTCCTGCATTAATAAAGAAGACTTAGGGGGACATCTCATATCCAAACCATAACAATTCTCTACTCACTCTAACATTAAGCAAGTTTTTTGAATCTCTAGTTCTTGATTTCCTCATCAACAAGAAACATACAAAAATTTGGCTTTTCCTTAGAGAAACAGGCCATTCTTTGGCCATGGGTGCTTATGAATTGGACCAGAGCTGGGCATGTCCCTAAGGCTGCCACCACATTCAAGGTGAACCCAGTACCCAGCTCATGGTAATTAAGCCCATGACCCTAGTTCCCTCAAAAATTTGAACTGGAAGCCACTGAAAGCAGAATGAGTCGTTTGCACAGAAAGCAGTCTCTGAGGAACAATCCAACCATGGATTGAGCCTCGGAAACTGTGAGCCAAAATAAAACTCTGAGGAACAGTCTCTGTTCAAAGAGCTTTTTATGTTCTTGGATCCATGGGTACCTGGATTTTAAGAGAAATCTCTACAGTCATTGGTGGCCATGAGGAGGCAAAGTCTCCATCCCCTAGTGTTGAGCAAGTTTCCTTACTGTCAGACATTTTAGAGCTTCCAACATTCTAATGTATTTTTTTTCCTAATGCATTTTAACTTTCCACAAAGGGGTTTATTATATGTCGTTTTCCATGGTCTTTGTAACTATTAAGCTGAATTCTACAGCAATGGTTTTGTATTTTTAGTCCATTCCCATGCCTTTGATCAACACTTCTCTAAATTGTGTAGAGCTTTTTGTGTTCTTGGATTATTTAGTTACTAAGAGCAGTTAAGAGGAACCAGCCAAACAAAAATGGAAGACAACCCTTTTTTATTCCAGCACTGACTTCACAAACTTCTCTAAGTCTGACTTCGACACATTGCCAAAGAAAACTAGTGGTAGAAATGGTACCAGAAGCCAGGCTTAAACCCTTATCCTGAACAATTTAGCAAATTGCTACTATTTGTTAAGTAGCCAAAAGCTACAAATATTATTTCTTCCCATAAACTAGAAACTGTCTCCCTTCTTCCTTCCCATGGCCACTCTTCACCTAGCCTAACCCTCTACCCCACAATGAGAATGAGTCCTATATATGACTTTTCCATCTGCTCATTAGCTAGGGCAAGATGCTTTAATCTTCATAGATTAATATTATGTTAACAACCTGAATATTTGGTTTCCTCAGCAACCAGAACACAATATTTAAACTGATGGCATCTCTGGCTCAGAATAGAAAGTGAATAAGCTTGATTGTGTGTGTCTGGTCTGCTCAAGGCTGCTTTATCTCTTCAAAGACTTCCTCACCTGATTATTCCTGGCAGCAAACTACTAAAGGGACTACAACCTGGAGTACAATCTTGGCAAAACCTGTGGACCTGCATCCAAAGCCAACTTCATCCTTGCCAGTTACATTGGTCCTTATCTTCAAGCCATGGAAATATTGATCTAATTGTCTCTTTTAATTCCAGTATTTAGGAAAATTTTTCCACATCTTTGTAACTTTTGCAAAAATTTGGGTAAATTACCGCCAGTTTTCATGAAACCTGAGCAAGAATCTAGATGATGGAGCTGCCTGGGCATTTAGAAAAAAGCTTTTCAGGGAAATTACTATTAAGGAACTATTAAGTAGGAATCTGTTGTTTTGTCTATTTTGTCCCTTCTCTGGGAAACTGATTCCTGCTCCTTATATAATCTCTTAATCACAACCAGAGCAATAAGTTAACTGGTCCTAAGGCCATTGTTTAGTTTGGAAATCCTG